CTTCCTGCTCCTCTGATGCTGCTTGGCCTGCTGTGTTCATCCAGCTCAACACCTTGTTATCTCATTAGCTGGTAGCGTTTGTTTCTACAGCAATGGTAGTGTCCCTCCCTTTGAGCCAAAAAGCCTGGGTACAAATCTCTGAATAGGTTTGTTTTTGGAAAGTACCTACACACCGTACAGTGAAAACCTCAAGATCGAGAGAGGGACAATCTTCCCTGAACTCAATCCTTCGTGTGGGATATCTTAACAGTAAATCAAGAGTTACGTACAATTGATGCATTGCTAGTGAATGACTGAAGATCAGTTGCTGTCACGTTATTCATAAAGAGTCCCAGATATTCAGCAAACCAGGCAGTGGAGTTCAAGACTGGGTCGTTCATATTGTAGCATTTTGGTTTGGGCTCTATTAGACAAAGCGAATAAAGCAATGATTAAAGAATGGTCTAAAATACGTCCTTATAGAAATTAAAGATCAATTGTTTCTTTCAATCCATAATAATAACAATCAGCAGTTTTTAAAGAAGATTTCTTCTGCCCAGACTATTTTGGTAGGAGTGCGTCCGCTAGTAAGGACCCTCTCCCTTTATTCTAGTTCATTCTGTCAAGTAGATCAAAAATTGCTGCACTTGTACCTTAATGTTACAATAAAATGTTGCAATAAAGGATACATCTGTTTGTGCCTTAATTTGGCGGACAATGGTTTGGTCCTCGGTGGACGTTTTTGACCATGGCATGGGTGAATTGTGAAAATCAAAACCTTTTTTAAAAAAATATGGTGCTTCACAATTTGTGAACAAAATGCTTCGGGGAAGTGCTTCATAACTACAATTTTTAAAACTCAGTTCTGTTTATTGTCTTGAACTTTGCGTCATGTGAACATCATCCACGTGGGTCGCCAGTTTTTGCTGGTGTGGAGGTACGTACAATAACAGACATGATTTTTTTTTATTCGGTGGGATGAGTTACTTCTCAAATACGCTGTTGCACGAAAAATGTGACAAGAGAAAAACACTTAAGCTACTTGGGATATGGTTAGGGAAGGTGCTGGCTCTCCCTGGGGTGTAGTCAGGTGAGGTGCCAACTTCTTCTCTGGGGTATGGCCAGCAAGGTACCAACACTGGCTCTCCTGGGTGCCTCCCTCATCACAAGTAACAAAAACACTGAAGGTGGCACAACGGGTCGAGAAAGTGTGCAATAAAACATGAGGAATTCCAACTTTACAAGTAGGGAGACGAGTACAAAAGCAAGGAAGTTATGATGAAACTGCTTAAAACACTAGTTCAACCTTAACTGGTAAATTGGGGACACCACACTTTTAGAAGCAAGTTAAGGATTACAGAAATTGCAGAAAAGACTCTCAGAAACGCTTCCATGGAGATGAGGTATTTCAGTTAAATGGATAGTTTGGAAAAGCAATGGCAACCTTCTTGAAGTAGAGGAGATTAAGAGGTGTTTTAATAGACAAAGTAGGGAGAAACGTTGTGTTCATGGAATGACTGAGATTTAAAGTGCCAAAAGAAGCAATGGTAACATGATGGAAAGCTATTATTATGCAGTAAGTCATCAGGATCTGGGGTGCAATGCCTGAGAGTGTGGTGTACATTCAATCTAGGGCTTCAACGCAGAACTTGAGAACTATCCAAAACAGAGAACAAAACTGAAGGGCTACAGCAAAATGCTGGGGGCTGAGGCCAAACGAATCACTCTTACAGAAGGCTCGACTGAACACAGTGGGCCTTCTCTTCTGTATCCATTCTCGGATAGTAATGAGGCCTGAAACATTACAGATGAGTGTGACCCAAGTGTCACCGACTGTAAAAGACAGTTTTTGAATGAATTTTGCAAGTTTGTGTGTTATTCATTTCTTTGTAGAAACATTGCAGAAATATTTCATCTGAGTATAAATAAATGATATTCATAAACCTTTATATAGTGTATTGAACCTAAGTCTTTATCATTAACTACACAAAATGTAATTCCACTTTATCTAGACAGCGCAAAGCCCAACAAAATATGAAGGAAAATTCCTAAGGTTTGAATGATAATTGCTGTGTAGCCAAATTGGCTGTAATTTTAAATTCTCACTGTGTTTGAGCCTTGCAAAATTAAACTAATTTCTCTGCTTGCACCCTTAAAATTTACCTCACAGAAGTTAGAAATTGGATTGCTAACATTTTCTAATTTCATTCTATGGATATAGTCCAATTACTGAACAATATTTTCCAATATCACACTTTTATTCCATACAAAGCATACTATAAAGCAAGAGGGTTACATTACCTTGTTGCAGGTATACTTTGATCCCATTATAGATTTCGTTCTGTTTGTTTGACGTAAAGTCACTGTATCGAGCACTCAGAGTTCTCACACTAAATGTAAAATGCAATACTTTAACATTTAGTCATTATTTAATTTCTAAGAGTGTGTAAGATCATTGAACTGATCCCTATAACATATACAGAAAAGAGCAGCTTTTCCAAATTAGTTCAATAACATAATCCATTATTTTGCTTTCTTTCACACAAATATCCATGAGACCTAATTCTTCAGCTTCGAAAAACGTTTTTATTTTAAATTCATTTGTGTGATGAGTGCGTCACTGGCTAGTCCAGCATTGCTGTGGGCCTGGAGTCACACGTGGGCCAGACCAGGTAAGGATGGCAGTTTCCGTCCCTAAAGGACATTAGTCAACCCGATGGGTTTTTCCAGACAATTGATTCTTGGTCATTGTCCCTACCATAACCCTAATTCCAGATAAGCTTATTGAATTCAAATTCCACCATCTGCCATGGTGGGATTCGAACCCCACGTCCCCAGAACATTCCTGGGTCTCTGGATTAACAGTCCAGTGATAATACCACTGGTGCACTGCCTCACACAAGGAGAGATGTGAAGAGATACAAGACGTCTCAGTGGTTAGCACTGCTGCCTCACACCTCCAGGGACCCAGGTTCAATCCCACCCTTGGGTGACTGTCTGTGTGGAGTTTGCACGTTCTCCCTGTGTCTGCGTGGGTTCCCTCCGGGTGTTCCAGTTTCTTCCCACAGTCCAAAGATGTACAGGTTAGGTGGATTGGCCGTGCTAAATTACCCATAGTGTTCAGGGATGCATAGATTAGGTGGGTTATGAGGGATGGGTCTGGGTGGGATGCTCTGAAGGACGGTGTGGACTTGTTGTGCCAAAGGGTCTGTTTCTACACTGTGGGGGTTCTATGATGTGGTTGTAAATTTACTGAACTCTGAAATCCAGAAATAGATGCAACTAAATACAAAGAGTGGTACCCAGCTTATTTTGGCTTGGGCCAATGACTAGGGGAAGATGACAGTTCTGAGGTTAACTATGTTGTTCAAAGATATATACGGAAAATTGGTGAATAACTCATTTCCAAATCGTGATCATTTGTCATTGGGAAACTGTGTATCTAAGTTACTTGCAGACCCTAATTCACTTAGTTACATTTATTGTGCAGGCAAGTTTAGTGTTGGCAAAGGGGGTACAAGTGAGTCAGAATTGGCATGATTCTCAGCAGCATCCTTTCACCATTCATGCCATGTCTGATAACTGAGTTGACAGAGATAGAAGCAGTGATGAGACCTTTATCCAGTAACATTTGATGACAGACTAACAAAAGGACAATATTCTGAAAGAGCCGTGACTTGCTCCATATTCCAACTCACATGATGCGATTGCTCTGAGAATGCAAGTCGGTATTTGCATTCTGGTCATGTTTAAAAATGAAACCCTCTGTGCAAAGGGCTAAGTGGTTCGACTATTTTAAAAAGGATTGTCATTATAACACCAACGACTGATCAGTCAGTGAGTGAGCATGTTACCAAATTTCAGCAATATTCAACTTGCATTTTCTTTTCAAAGGTGAGAAAATAAGATATGTTAAAAATGTCATAACATTTGAAAGATGTTCTTTTTGCGTCTTTTAGTTAATAGAGATTGATTTTTAAGTTAGTCAACAACTCTAGTATTGTATCTGGTGCACAATGTACAAGATACATTGCAGAAATTAGCCAAAAATTCTTAGACAGCACCTTCCAAACCCATAACCACTTCCATCTAGAAGAACAAGGGCAGCAGATACATGGGAACCCACCATCTTCAAGCTCCCCTCCAAGCCATTCACCATCCTGACTTGGAAATATATCACTGTTCCTTCAGCAACACTCACATCCCATGAGAGAATTGAAAATAAAACCAGGAAGGTAGATAAATGAGATGAACCTTTTGCTTTTCTCATTAAGAAATTCCTACATCAGATCAATTGACTTTGACTGTTGAAATAAAGTAGGCCATAAATTTGTTTAGTAGAATCAGTGTTGAAAAGTAAACTAATATTCTTCTTAGATCAGAAGTGTACACATTATTGTGTCTGGAAATCAATAATTTTTAATCAGAGAGAATAGTAAGTGATTTTGTTGCTGCATACAATTGGATCATGAACAAATTCAACATGCACTTAATCATGGCAATGGCTTTAATTCTTGCTGGACACTTATATAGTCTAGTTACTGAATACAGTGTACAAGAACATAAGAAACAGGAGTAGGAGTAGACCATCTGGCCCGTCGAGCCTGCTCCACCATTCAATAAGATCATGGCTGATCTTTTCATGGACTCAGCTCCACTTACCCGACCGCTCACCAAAACCCTTAATTCCTCTACTGTTCAAAAATCTATCTTTGCCTTAAAAACATTCAACGAGGTAGCCTCAACTGCTTCACTGGGCAGGGAATTCCACAGATATACAACCATTTGCATGAAGAAATTCCTCCCTGACTCAGTCCTAAATCTGCTCCCCCTAATTTTACAGCTATGTTCCCTAGTTCTAGTCTCACCCGCCAGTGAAAACAACCTCCCTGCTTCTATCTTATCTATTCCCTTCATAATTTTAAATGTTTCTATGAGATCCCCCCTCATTCTTCTAAATTCCAATGAATATAGTCTCAGACTACTCAATCTCTCCTCATAAGCCAACCCTCTCAACTCCGGAATCAACCTAGTGAACCTCCTCTGCACCCCCTCTGTCACATGTAGCTTTTTAAATTAATTTATTATGTGCCCAGCATTGCTCAGGCTGTCTTGAATATACAAGGAACAACTAGCAATAATTTAACTGTGAAGCTGATCTGATTGCAATTTCAATGTCATCATTAAGAATGAACTGCTATTTGTGAACAACTTAATAGAATAACAGTGTAATTGATCAATGTGAGAATGGATAATAAGAGATGTGAATATATTTACATTCTCCTGTAAGGGAGGCACTGGACTTTAAGCGTGCTGTTGGAAACCAGGAGGTCAGTGGTGATGAAAGATAGATAGGGGCTTAGTCTGACATTAAGCCATGCATCTTGCTCTGTATCATTGAGTATAGACAGGCTGTTAACAAACTGTGGCCACAGACCCTGAATGATGGCAGCGTGGTTAGCATCTGTCAAGTTCATCTGGAAATAAAAATGGAAACAGATTTGTTACTGTTTGAGAAAAATTAAAAAAAACAATATTAAACAGGTGGCTCCAAATCTGTCATATTTTGTGCTTATTTGAAGCAGATCTTTAGATCTTGGAACAGCTATTTCCCCATTGTTATTAGACTTCCGAATGTGCCTGTCAAATTTCAAATCTAATGTTGATCTCGCTCCCAGTGCACCTTTTTTGTAGTTGTAACACTGTATTCCTTGCTCTGTTCAATCACCCTATGATCTTTGTATGTTATGGTCTGCCTGTACTGCACACAAAACAAACCCTTTCACTGTACTTAGGTACATGTGACTGTAATAAATCAAGTCAAATCAAATCTTGATACTAAAATATTAAGTATTTTTTCAGCAACAACACCAGTGGAGCCAACATTAACTCAATTTATTTGTACGAATGAACCAAAGGATTCCGCTATTCTTGAGATAAAGTACTGGCACTAATCTACTATTTTTACCAACTCCTCCCATGACCGGGATTGCAAAATGCCTACAGCTGTGGCAATACATCGCTCTCTTGTCTCTCCACACAGATAGCTTCTTCTTGTTTCTAAAGTTTGAAAAAGTCTTAGGAGGGAGCTTCTTTCACCAAAGGACATCAGCTGCCTCCACATTTGTCATAGCATCAGTGCTGGAGGGTCTCCTATTTTCTGGCCCAGATTCAGGAGCCAGCCCTCTGTTTTTAATTGGATCAAGTTCCCATAGAATCCCTACAGTGTGGAAGCAAGCCATTTGGCCTATTAAGTCCACACCGACCCTCCAACGAACATCCCACCCAGACCCAACTTCCCCCACCACATCTCTGCAACTCCGCATTTCCCATGGCCAATCCACCTAGCCTGCACATCTTTGCACTGTGGGAGGAAACCCACATAGACACGGGGAGAACGTGCCAACTCCATGCAGACAGTCGCCCGAGGGTGGAATTGAACAGGGTCCCTGGTGCTGTGAGGCAGCAGGGCTAACCACTGAGCCATTGTGCCGCCATAGGAGCTACTTCACTGGTCACCTCCTGAAAAATGATCGTGTGTTCCGAAGCAGTGTATCTGGATTTCCGATTTCATGCTTGCCCAATGACAAGCAAAGATACAGGCCACTGTCTTCCCTGTTGAATGAACCTGTTCTCTACAGCGTGGATATACATTTCCAGTTTTCAAGCTCTTAAATTTTGTTTCTTTGTAATACTGTCTCTCTGTGAACATTTTCCAGCCTTTTATGACCCAACCACAATGAAATTTCTTCTGCATAACTTCTTCAAATGAGGTTCTCTGGCTGAGACTTTTACAGATCTTCCTGTGGTTTAATTACGGAGTCTGGTTCTTTTAAATCTTAATTTTCTTCCTGTTGCACTCTTTCTCCAAAATTCTTTAAATTTACTTATCGGCCGAAATAACTTCTGAGGGTATCCTGACGCTGCAGCCCTGGTATATAAGTTACTTCCTAAACCAAGGATTCCCCAGCACCATGGTTGACAGGGTGTGACCATCTCCTGCACTTCAGCCCTCCCACGTTCTCTTCTTTCAGAGCAGCCATTGGGTCCCCCTCATTCTCACGTACTACCACACCAGCATCCACATCCAAAGGGTCATTAGTTGTTATTTCTGCCAACCCCAGTGGGATGCCACTACCAAACACATATTCCCCTCGTCTCCCTTGTCAGCCTTCCACAGGGACTGTTCCCTCCGGAACACCCTGGTCCACTCCTCCTCCACTCCCAACACCACCCCCCATTGCCCCACAGAGGATATAAAACCTGTCCGTTTAGTTCCTCCTTCCTCAGTATCCAAGGGCCCAAACACATCTTCCAGCTGAAGCAGCGCTTTACCTGAACTTCATACAATCGAGCCTACTGCATTCACTGCTCACAATGTGGTCTCCTCTACATTGGCAAGACGAAGCACAGACTGGGTGACCGTTTTACAGAACACTTGCATTCTGTCTGCAAAGAAATCCCTGAGCTTCCAGTTGCCGGCCACTTCAATGCATCACCCTGTTCCCTGGCCAACATCTCTGTCACAGGGTTGCTGCAGTGTTCTAGCGAAGCTCAGTGCAAGCTGGAAGAACAGCATCTCATTTTCCACTTGGGCACCCCACAGCCTTCTGGACTCAATATGGGGTTTAACAATTTTAGGCCCCGAGCACCTTCTCCCATATCCATATCTATACCCCAACCCCCACAGACCAGGCCTTGTCATCACATGGGTTGCTACCAGAGACAACCCATTGTTAGCCATTAGCAGCTATTCATTCTCCCAGGCTGATATTTACCCATTCCTTTGTATGCCCAACTGTTACTGTCTCTCTGGGCTCCATCTCCACCTATTGTTTACTCCTTCGCACTCTCCCTTACTCCTTCTTTAGCATATACCAGCATTTCCCAGGTACAATCAGTTCTGAAGAAGGGTCAATAGACCTGAAGCATCGACTCTGATTTCTCTCCGGAGATGCTGCCAGGCTAGCTGAAATTTTCCAGCAATTTCCGTTTTTGCTTACACCTGGAGCATTAGTTTGCTCCCTACAGAGTATCCTTCACTGAGGTCTTTGTCATTTTTGAAGTGTGGCTGGTTTTCTCTCTTTTGACTACCAGCACTCCTCTCCCTATGCCTCTTACCAGCTTCTGAGTGAACATTTGTTTTCAGAGTACGGAATACATCTGCTCTCTTCAGGTACTCATGTACAACTTAACTGCCACCACTGTCACATCATTACAATGTTACAACATTAACATTTTCAGAACTGTCACCTCATGCAACATGCTTCATTGGTTACTTTCTAATATCTAGGCTGTAATATTTTTAGTGGTTCATTACCATTCTCAGATTTTTCTTTATTCATTCATGGGATGTAGGCATCTCTGGCTAGGCCAGCATTTATTGCCCATCCCTAATGGCCCCGAAGTCAGTTAAAAGTCAACCACGTTGCTGTGGTCTGGAGTCACATGCAGGCCTGACCAGTTCAGGATGGCAAGCTCCCTCCCTAAAGAACATTAGTGAATCAAATTGTTTTTTCTAACAGTCAACAATGGATTCATTGTCATTAGTAGCTTCTTAATTCAGATTCCACCATCTGCTGTGGCCAGAGTCCCCAGAACATTGCTTGGGTGTTCGAATTAACCGTCCAGTGATAATCCCACTCAGCCATGACCTCCCTGTAATGTATGTAACATTGCTTGTTAAATATTAAAAGAGAATTAATATTAAAGTTCGTCTTGGGTCTTGTTCCCGAAGGATCTGAAATCTGTATCTCTTGTTAATCAAACACAGCATGCACACTTGACTTCTTTCAAATGTCATTAAGTGCACGATAAGGTTCAAATGGTCTTGCCTGTGTGAGGGAGCAAAAATTCCTGATCTGGAGTCTCATTTTTATTTCAAACAATGACATGCCATGATTTGATTTTGTACACAGTGCACTCTGCTCTCTTTATCTTGCATCACATGCACTCATTAGCAATTCACTTCCAATTGTTCTAACAGATGAGACGTTCATGGATGTGACAGGCAAGAAAGTTGAAGTTGGAAAACATTAAGGTGCTCTGCTAAAATTCATGGGCTCGAGCTCCTTCAGAGGTTCTCCCAGTTCTCCACTGCAACTTTGATGCAAGAATTCCCAGAGGAATGGTATTGCAAAAATTTAACTCATTAAGACCATGCTTTAAGATCTTGGATGGTTTAATTATGGCCTGTCAAGCCTCCAAAATCTACTATCCATTAAAAATCTATTTGAATATATTTGATGATTCAGCCTCCATGGGTCTCTGGAGTAGAGAATTCCAAAATTAACAACCTTCACAGAAGAGAATTTTCTGTTTTCAATGAAAGATCCCTTATCTTGGAACTGTACTGCCCAGTTGTAGATTGCTCCACAAAGGAAAATGCCTCTCAGCATGTCCCCTCACAACCCCTCTTCCCTCAGAATCTTTTTTCTTTCAATAAGATCATCTCTCATTTTTCAAACCATAGTCCCAACATGATCAATGTTTCTTCATAAGGCGACTCCTTCATCTCAGAGGCAACCTTCTCTGAACTACCTCCAATGCAAGTAAGCAAGAAAGACAAAACTGTACACAGTACTCCTGTGATTCTAAAGCTTTAAGTAACATTAGCAACTCACGTCTCGTGTCCTTAGATTGAACTGATCCACAAATGTTGCCAGATTCTGGATGGGTTGGTAATTCATTAACACCATTTTCAGAATGTCATTGTCATCAATGAACCCAGGTCTGCTGAACAAATCAGCAAAATCACTGGGATCAGCAGTATTAAACACCTGAAAAGAAACAGAACAGGGACATTCTTAGAGATAGTAGGAACTGCTGATGCTGGAGAATCTGAGATAACAAGGTGTAGAGCTGGATGAACACAGCAGGCCAAGCAGCATCATAGGAGCAGGAAGGCTTAACCTTTTAAAGACATACTATATAAAAGTAGGAGTAAAGACTGTGCCAGAAGTTAAACAAACAAGGCAATATCAATATGTTCTCCATAGAAATGTCATAATAAATAATTTTTTAAAAACTATGTTTTCTCAAATAGTTGATGAGATAAAATTTCTTCTCTTTTAGCCTGTATTTGTTGGCACACTCTGAGCGGAATCAACCAAACCAATGGAAAAAATGGGAAATGTAAAACGAAATTGAGTAATGCCCAAAAATATAAGCACTTAATGTCTGTGTTTTTCAAATTTGTTCAAGATTATAAATAGGAGCGGTTTACAGGGATATGGGCCAAATGCTGGCAAACGTGACTGGATTAATTTAGAATACCCAGTTGGCATGGATGAGTAGGACCAAAGGGTCTGTTTCTGTGCTGTACATCTCTGTTACTCTATAAATCTGATGCATCTGAGTTGACATTTCTTGATTTTGCAGTTGGTACTGGTGAGTGAAAGTTTATCAAGCTGCATTAGTTTTCCTAGGCAGTTACCATCTATCATAAATAATGAACTTACTACAAAGCCATCTGTTGTACGACAGTGCAAGTAATATATTGTTCAACATAGCTTTCTCTAAAACAAAGATTTTCAATGATTTAAGATCTAGTTTATGAGGGACTAGAAACTTACTAAAAGTGCTTTTCATGGGTAAACATATTTTAAGCTGTTTATAATAAACTGAATCAGATATCACTTTTAAAAATGTTACAAATATTTGTTCAAACTAAGTAAACAATTACAATTTATTTCACTGCCTGATTGCCCTGGTTCAGAAAAAAACTTTGCTGTGGTGATTATGCAAATTCTTTAAATGGAAACTTGAATTGGAACCTAATCAGTACAATCTCAAGTTCATTTTATCCAGTTGTGTGTGGGAGGTGGAGGCAGTGATGATGGTGATGAGTGCCTTGTGCAAGGTCACTTTTACAGTATCTGTAGGTTTTCAATAAATATTAATTGTACAAACATCCAATGACATGCATAATGATGCCCATAATAGGATTTTTCTATTAATGTAATATTCAAAATAACAGATACACATCAAACTGCAGTCACTTATTACATGATGTATTATTCCCTGTCCTTGTTATTAATAACTTGCTATAAAAAGATAAAGACAGAATCTTTGTTCTCTCATTCAGAAAATTGAACATGATATAGAGGGCAGGTTTATACAGGCATCAAATGGTTTCTTTACTCTGTAATTTATTTTGTTTACATAAAATGGAAAACTGATATTGTTTAAGACAGCCTCACTGTAATGTATATTGGGAAGTAAAGTAACATTGAAATTGGAAAGGCAGATACCCATCTTACGTCACAAGTGAAATGACATATTTTCTGTAAAGTGGAGGGAAGGTGAGGACAGACATTTGAGGAAATGCAGGAGGGGCAGCTAAATTCAGCCACAGGAACTCATTGCTTTTTTTTAAACTTCACTTTTCACCCAGTAGATTAAGAAGCTGGAACAAAAACAGAAGTTGCTGGAAAAGCTCAGCAGGTCTGGCAGCATCTGTGAAGAAAAAAATCAGAGTTAATGCTTCGGATCAGGTGACCCTTCCTCAGAACTGCGTTAACGTTTCGGGTCTGGTACCAGACCCGAAATGTTAACTCTGATTTTTTTCTTCACAGATGCTGCCAGACCTGCTGAGCTTTTCCAGCAACTTCTGTTTTTGCTCCTGATTTACAGCATCCGCAGTTCTTTCGGTTTTTAGATTAAGAAACTGGCCTGCTGCTAGAGGAAGCTGCAACCTGTAACAGCTGTAGGGACAGTCTTGGCACCATTGAAGTATGTTGGGAGTCAGCAGATCACAGGTGGGGGGTGGGGTGGGGTGGGGTGGGGTGGAGGGGAGGGAGGTCATGGGGAGGGAAAGGCAGCTTGCTTAAAGATTAACTTTGGAGGGCAGGGTGGAAAGCACTCCTGCTCTTTTACACCCACAGCCAATTGCCAAAACCTGTTGGATTTGGCAAATCTCACCTTCAGGGCACTGATGGGTTGGTGCGGTGGCTCAGTGGCTCAGTGGTTAGCACTGCTGCCTCACAGCACCAGGGACCCGGGTTCGATTACCCCGTCAGGTGACTGTCTGTGTGGAGTTTGCACTTTCTCCCCCTGTCTGCGTGGGTTTCCTCCGGGCGCTCCGGTTTCATCCCACAGATATTAGGTGAATTGGCCATGGGAAATTGTTCAGGGATGTGCTGGCTAGGTGGGTTAGCCACGGGAAATGCAGGATAACAGGGATGGGGTGGGTCTGGGTGGGATGCTCTTCTGAGCGTTGGTGTGAACTCAATGGTCCAGATGGCCTGCTTCCACACTGTAGGGATTCTATGACACTTCCGAAATCTTCATTTTGCATATTATAATTAAAGACTGCTTGGTTTACTTGATCAACCTTCAAAGTGGCATGGTTGAACTGAAAGTAGACACTTTCACAATGGGTTGGTATCAGCTTTCAGATATTTACCAAGTGAAACCACAGCCCCAACTTCTGCCCTTTGTCCTTAAAGTTATCATTATTGATTTTACCTCCGCTGTACGGTTTGAAGGAACAAGTGATAACACATCAGACAGAGTTAGAAACTCTGAGAAATTTCCAAACTGGCTGTTCAGGTAAAGGCTGAAACTGTTGTTTTCATAACAGCGGAGAGGGATTTCTAGGAAAAGAAGAACAAAGGCAAAAAACTTTGGTTATTTTCTAAACAGGTACTCGTATGAAAATGTCATCCCATGACTAGAAATTTGTCATTGAATTTAGCTGGGAAACAATGTTAGTTCCAAATATTTCTGCTGTATACTGGGTTCCAGAAATGCGAGGATTACCACGGTGGTCTGCTTGAGGCAGCTATTGGCTGGAGATAAATGTACGACCCAAGAGTCCTTCTTTGAAGCATCACACATTTCTAGCCCACAATGGGGTCGCCGATTGGCTGTGCCCCTCAATGTGAGCTCCACCTGGATTCAAACCTAAAGATACGTGAAGGGACATCAGTTATATTTAAAAGCAGCCCTCTTACAAAGTGGTACAAGATGGGCAGTTTAGCTTGGATTTTACAGATAGGCAAAAGATACCACTGACGATCCCTCTAGCCTCAGAGTCTCTACTCAACTTTCTGTCCTTTTTGTTATGGTGCTAGCTCATTTTAACTCTTGAAGTACAGGTGCCTACCATTTCAATATAAAATTGGGATTTTCCACTGGCCATGCCTACCCGGGTGTCAGAAAACGATTACTCAGATTCATAGAGAAATACGGCATGGAAACTGACCCTTTAGTCCAATTTGTCCATGCCTATCCTAAACTCATCTCAGTCCATTTGCCAGCATTTGGTCCATATCCCTCTAAACCCTTCCTATTCATGCACCCACCCAGATGTCTTTTAAATGCTGTAATTGTACCAACCTCCACCACTTTCTCCGGCAGTCCATTCCATACATGCATCACCTCTGTGTGAAAATGTTATAACTCAGGTCCTTTTTAAACCTTTCCCTTCTCTTGTTAAACCTATGTCCCCTAGTTTTGGACTCCCCAACCCTAGGAAAAAGACCTCAGCTATTCACCCTTTCCATGCCTTTCATGATTTTGTAAACCTCTATAAGGTCACCCCTCAGCCTTCAATGCTCCAGGGAACATAGCCCCAGTCTATTCAGCCTCTCCCTATAGCTCAAACCCTCCAATCCTGGCAACATCCTTGTAAATCTTTTGTGAACCCTTAAAGCAGTTTAATTTTGGCATATTCCTACTAATTTAAGTTATGGATTATTAAAAAAAAATGTCTATGTATTACAATATACCAAGCATTGTTTTAAGCTGCATTGCTACACCTTCCTTTCCACAGTACTAACCATTACAATTGTTATTGTGAACAGATAGTTATAAGATGAATATCCTCTCGTCCACTGGGAGTGTTTCACAGAGCAATTGTTTGCAAGCACAAGTGATTTAATATTGCTCTTACAAACAGAGAAATCAGCATTTTATTGCTTCTAGCATTTCTCATGCCAAAATGGGGTTTTTCTTGCAGGAGATTGCATGCTTTGAAACAACAACAGTGAAAATTCGTAACGTCTTAAATATCTTTCAAATGTGAATCATCAGAGCGAGAAGTTTAAATTTGGGAGCTCAATTCCTACTGTCCACTCTCAGAAAAGGGTCTCGGTGACCTGGGTGTCACTGTACAGAGGCCACTGAAAGCAAGTGTGCAGATACAGCAGGCAGTGAAGAAAGCAAATGGTAAGTTGGCCTTCACAGTGAGAGGATTCAAGAACAGGGACATCTTGCTGTAGTTATACAGAGGCTTTGTGAGACTGCACCTGGAGTATTCTATGCAGTTCTGGTCTCCTTATCCAAGGAAGGATGTTCTGGATATTCGTGCCTCAAACCCTCATAGTGCCTCTTATTTAACTTCAAGATCCTTCAGTCAACTACTTCACTCTGTACCTTGATGAGGATTTCTATCATATTATGGTCGCTCCTTCCCAAGGTTCTCCACACAACGAGGTTGATAATTAAGCAATGCCCAAGTCCCATGAGGGGATAAAAAGTAAATCCTCTCTCAGTACACAGAAGCCAGCCTGTTCTCTTATTGGTTCCTCAATGTATTGGTTTAAAACACCATCAGGACCACATTCCAGGAAATCCTCCACATTATCATTGCTAGTTTGGTTTGACCACTCTACACAAAAGTCGTACCCTTATTGCACGAGATAGTGGGAACTGCCAATGCTGGAGAATCTGAGATAACAAGGTGTAGAGCTGGATGAACACAGCATGCCAAGCAGCATCAGAGGAGCAGGAAAACTGACGTTTTGGGTCAGGACCCTTCTTCTGAAGAAGGGTCTAGACCCGAAACGTCAGCTTTCCTGCTCCTCTGATGCTGCTTGGCCTGCTGTGTTCATGCAGCTCTACACCTTGTTATCTCCGCTTTTGGAACACAGTTCCTTTGTCAGGGGCAGTGAGACAGCAGAGCACACAGATCCAGAGTTTATAGACAGAGAGATCAAGAGCAGAGAGATCAAAAGATTATACAACTGGTGTGAGTGGAGTGTCAGATGATAAGTCTCTGCAGGTGACGGAAACTGTCAACAGCTGAATAACAAGCGAAGACATGACCTATAATCCGATTAAAAGAGGCAGAGAGATAATTACAAAAAATTAAAAATAAGGTGGTGTTGGAGACACTAAATGACTGGAATAACATGCCGAATTCAAAACAGTACAAACTAATTAAGGTAGAGAGATCATAACAATTTATCAAGATGATGCTGTCCAAACAGGACAGGAAGAAAGATTTTACAAATACAGAACAGTGTGGTGAGGTCATCTGTGGTGGGACATGAACCCAAGATCACGGTCGAGGTCGTCTTCATGGGTGCAGAATGTGGCTATCAGTCTCTGCTCGGTGATTCTGCATTGTTGTATATCCCAAAGTCTGCCTTGGAAGACATTTACCCAAAGATCGGAGGCTGAATGCCCTTGACCACTGAAGTGTTCCCCCATTCTTCTGTATCTTTAAAATCTTTCTTACTGTCCTGTTTTGACAGCATCAACTTGATAAATTTGTTATGATCTCTTTACATTAATTAGTTTGTACAGTTTTGAATTACTTATTACTTTGGTTAGATTCTCAGATGCGACTCTAATACCTATCATGCTATTCCAGTCATTTAGTCTGTCTCCAGCACCACCTTATTTTTAATTTTTTGTAATTATCTCTCTGCCTTACTTAATTGGATTACAGGACACCCCTTCGCTGATTATTCAGCTGTTGACACTTTACTCACCGTCTAACACTCTCGGTTACCTGCAGAGACTTATCATCTGACATTCCACTCACACTAATTGTATGATCTTTTGATCTCTCTGCCTATAAACTCTGGGTCTGTGTGCTCAGCTCTCTCACTGCACCTGACGAAGGAGCTGTGTTCCAAAAGCTTGTGTGATTTTAAATAAACCTGGTGGACTATAACCTGGTGTTGTGTGACTTCTGACCTTGTCCACCCCAGTCCAACAGAAGCACCTCCACATCATTACATTTCCACACATGTCTGGGAGCCAACAACATGATCAGTGAAAGACTAGGAAATTGAAAGTATTTTAACACACAGTGTAACAGGCCAACTAAGGCTTAGTTTATCAGGCTCCTTTGAACAAAAACAATCACTTTTATCAATGTAGTCCAACTTAATTTAGTTACCTTTAGTATAAGCCAGTATATTTCGAAATATAGTTTCTTGCACACTCGCAGTCAGCTGCTGTTTGATTGAGCTCAGTGTTGAGACACTACCAGGATAAAAACAAATCAATCGGATACACTGATGACAGTAATTGTAAAAACAAATTAATATGAAATTCTAGATTTCATAAATGTGTGGTCCTTTTTTTTGCCATTATTTGCAATGGAAGCATACATTGGAAATTTGTACATGGCAATCATTGGGTTTGGAAAAAACTGTTTCATCCATTAATTTTAAAAGATGGAAAATCCAGGAGATCCAAATGCCCTAAATGCTAGCACTCAAGGATCCACCAGAAATTTGTAAAATCTATCCTTCTGATACCATGAACTAGTTTTTATGTTTTAACAGAATAACTGTAAAAACATAATGTCAGCATACTACAGAGGTCACTACTCGGTTTCTGTGAGAGAAGAGAACATATTGTGATCGCTTTGTGTTCGCAACTTTATGTCACGGGGAGGCGATGGCCTAGCAGTATTATTGCTGGACTGTTAATCCAGAGACCCAGATAATGTTCCGGGGACCTGGGTTCAAATCCTGCCACGGTAGGTGGTGGAATTTGAATTCAATAAATACCTGGAATTAAAGAGTCTGATGAATTGATTGTTGGGGGAAAAACCCCTCTGGCCTACATGTGACTCCAGACCCAAAGCAATGTGGTTCACTCTGAACTGCCCTCTGGGTAATTAGGGATGGGAAATAAATGCTGGCCGAGCCAGTGGTTCCTTTATCTGATACATGAAGAAATTTAAAAAACTACTTCAGTTAGGCAGTCTGTGACAAAGAGTAAGATGACAAATAGCAGGCCCAGACCCAAGCCCTTTCAAAGTTCAGTTTCAAATGATTCATCATTGTGATCAAAGTTAGCAATACCAAGCAAAACAGTTTCCCAATTTCCCAATGGAAATGAAACAAAAAATGTACTCACATGATCTGCGATCCATTGCAGCTCTCCGTAGCAAATACTAAAGGCACTATGTTTGCTGTGAGTCCGGGGAGGAGTACCTGTAACCTCATGCCAAACCAGATCTGGATCTCACCGCTGCTAGCATTTGAAAGAATTGGCTGTGCCCGATCCAGAACTCCTCGCAGTAAAGCCAATCGGACACTGGGCGTGAAAACCACGTTGTTCTGAAATAATTGGTAGTAGATGGAGGGAAAAACAACATTAATGCAAAAATAGGTACAAACCCATAAATCAACACTGCAAACTGCTTTAAATGTCAGGGATATTTTAGAATCATAGAATCCCTACAGTGTGGAAGCAGGCCATTCAGTCCATCAACTCCACACTGACCCTCCAGAGAGCATCCCACTAGACCTACCGCCCGACCCCACATTTCCCATGGCTAATCCACCTTGCCTGCACAACCCTGGACACTATGGGCAACTTAGCATGGCCAATCCACCCTAACCTGCACATCTTTGGAGTGTGGAAGGAAACTGGAGCAAACCCATGCAGACACGGGGAGAATGTGCAAACTCACAGGGAGAGAAGGTCACCCAACAGTGGAATCAAACTCAAATCCCTGGTGCTGTGAGGCAGCAGTACTGACCACTGAGCCACTTATCACTGTTTTTTTTAAAGAGGCCAGATAGCTTAGCCCTGTATCTTCTGGTGTTTGGAAGAGTCGGGGTTTTAGTTGGCACAGTGTTAGGTAGTCCAATTTATGGAAACTTCATCTAGCAGAGGATGAAATATGTAGGGCATTGTGAATTTACTAAGCAAGCCTAACATTCATAATTTTACTAAAAGAACAATAAATTTGTACTGCAATCAACTCTGCTGATGCAATACAATACAACTCTTGTACAACTGAATGTAACTAGGGATTAGAGATAGTAGAAACTGCTGATGCTGGAGTCTGAGATAACCAGGTGTAGAGCTGGATGAACACAGCAGGCCAGGCAGCATCAGAGGAGCAGGAAAGCTGACGTTTCGGGTCTGGGCCCTTCTTCAGAAAGGGATTATCTGATGTTATTAGGTTCATGGCAATTACATTGGAAACTATATAGTTCATCTGCAAAGTAAGAACTGAAAGTGCCAGGAATACTCAGAAGGGCTAATAGTATCTGTGGCAAGAGAAGCAGAATAAACATTTCAAATCGTGTATGGTCTCTTCAGGAATGGATGATCAATATCGTCCTCCTCCTCTGGTCCTTAACATTACAGGTGTTAGTTTTTAAGCAATTAGATTCACTTCTTGTGATATCCAGTAAAGGCAGAAGGCACTGTATACTGCAATGGCCATGGACAATCATTCCAGCAGTAGTACAGAAGACTTCTGCTTTAGACTAGCTATCTCTCTAGCCAAGCTATACCAATACAGCTGCAACACTGATATCTATCCAGGATTGTGGAAATTGCCATGTTTGCAAAAGCAGGACAAATCTAATAATCTAATTACCACCTCATCAGTCTACACTCCATTTTCAGAATAGTAATGGAAGGATTGTTGACAAGCGCTATCAAACATGTTATAAACCAAGTGTGGGGGTGGCAAAGTGGCTTAGTGATTAGTACTGCTGCCTCGCAGCGTCAGGAATCTGAGTTCGATTCCCCCCTTCAGTGACTGTGAGAAGTTTGCACATTCTCCCCGCGTCTGCGTGGGTTTCCTCCGGGTGCTCTGGTTTCCTCCCACAGTCCAAAGATGTGCAGGTTCGGTGGATTGGCCATGCTAAATTGCCCAGAGCGTCCAGGGATTTGCAGGCTAGGTGGGTTAGCCGCAGGGTTATAGGGTAGGGGCATGGGTCTGCGTGGGATGCTCTTTGGAGGGTCAGTGTGGACTCAATGGACCGAATGGCCTGCTCCCATACTGTAGAGATTCTACATTTAGGTGAGGAGGAGTGAATCTGCTCTCCTCTTTTCAACATCTCACCTGTTTGGTCGCAACAAAGATTTATGTTCATTTAAGTATGAGGCTACGCTGTTCTGCAACTAAAATCAGTTTCTATTGTATCAATAAGGAACCAATTATAAGATTTGTTTGAGTGAAAGAAGGAACAACTATATCACCTGCTGGCTCTGAGAAAGAAATAAAAATGAAGTGACGTCAGCAGGTACAAAGTTCAAACGGAGTAGTGTCTCGTTTTTACTCTCAGATTTCCAGCACCTGCGGTATTTTAGTTTAAATCGATCTGGGGAAAGCTGCTGAGTGGGGCTGTTTGAAACAGATTTATGCCAGGTGACAGGAATCTCACATGGCAGGAGTGCTGGGTGGAGCCTCATGTTACCTCCTTTAGGGGGAGGCCTGCCCATCAGGCACTTAGTAGGGCATCAGTAGGCCTTCCTGGAGACCTAGGACCCCAAGATGGCTCCTGAGCTGCCAGTCAATTAAAACCCATCACCTGTTTTGCAGTGAGGAGGCAGCTTGCCAGCATTACGCCAACCAGAGGCTCAGGACTGGCAAGTAACTCCAGGCCTACAGATGGCGATGGCGTGGTACGGGGTCATGAGAGAGGAGGAAGAGGGAAAGGTGATGGTTTGCAATGGGGTCTCTCTCTTTCCCGATGCTGGTCCCTCAGTCAAGCACTGAGTACCTTTAAACAAGGAATTCCTCTGATGAGATCTGGATTTAGTTTTTGGAGCTCCCTGCTCATTGAATATAAATAGTGGCAGACTGAAGCCTCAAATGACCAATGATAGCTTTCTAAAGGGTCACAGTGAGAAGGTCATTCACGAATCTTTGCATCCTGGACTTAATCAGGGCGGAAGTGGGAAATGATGGTGGGATCTCCATCGCATACTGTCCTGCCAAATGAGATTTTCTCCAGTCTCTAACTCAACCCATGGGGAAGACATGGAATTCCATTCATAATGTTTTAACATCACTTGTAACAGATTCCTACCTGATTGGCAGCAGTTCTGAACTTTTCAATAAACTCTGTAACAGTGGCGCTGGTGATACTGTTGAAAAGCCTCTCCACGTCCTCAACGTTGGTCAATGTTCTGTTCTTTGCAGCAAATTCTCCAAGTTGGGAAGGTGTCAGTAAGTCTGCTGCATCAAGCTGTAAAGAGAGAAAATCCTGAAGACTAATCCTCTCATGGAGATGATCAGAATCTTGCAGACTAACAAACGACCAACTTTCAAAAAGACACACACAAAATTTGTTTGGTCTGTATTTTTTCTGTTAACTTAGAATCATTGAGCTTCTAATTGGAGGGGCAGAAATTCATCTGAAACCAACAGAATCATTGGAAAGTGGAAATCGTACAAAGTAGGTTGCCAATTCATTGTCACCCACTTTGCACTATTTTTCAGGATAAATTGCTAGCACAGAAGAACGAACTGAGATTTTGGATTTAAATAATGCATTGTACTCACGCGCCAATTTGCTTTCCATTTATTCTCTATTGTCTATAAAGAGCTGCAATTGAATTTAGCCAAACAGTTATTATATGCTACCTCATGGCTTGGGAAAGGAGAACATTTTCATAAATGAAACAATACTGACATGAGTGAAACCTATGTACAGACAGCCATTCAGATCTTTGTTGAGAGAGTGAAACACAATTGCATTGTTCGATAGCATCCGGAAAATGGAAATTTTATTTTTTCAAGTGGTTAAAACTTCATAACTGGGGGCGAAATTAGATCATTTGATCGTATTATTTCAAGGTACAGGGATTAATAGTTTAACTTCAATCACACCTAAATTGAAACTTATTAAAATGATGGCCACATTAAATACCATGAAATCTGGTTTTAAACTGCAGTTATTTAAATATTCAGATTAAAGATTCTCATTAGTGCAACAAACTCTGACAGCAAAATGTTAATATTCGGGATCCTAAAAGAGAAAGGTTCGTTCTGTCACTCACTGCATTGAAGTCTGGATTCAGCCTGGTTAAATCATCTATCTGAACAAGTTGACCGAATCTGCCCCAGTTCTTCAGAAGCCAATCTCTGGACCCATTGGTGTTTGCGATACAAGCAGCACCTGAAATTAAAGGGTAAAGAAAGTTAACTGTTTGCACAAAATATTTTCCTGTGTCATACTTATAACAGAATCACCCATGTTTCTGTCTGTGGAATAATTTAAAATAATCTTCTGTTAAGGGTTATCTTTGAAGAAGAATCTTGAACACTGCTCCAGGTCCATCAACTAACCTGACTTCCTTTAATTGAACTGTTCTTTTGGTGAAAAAAGTAAGGAAAGTATTCTCACATATTCGCTCCAATGAATGTCTAAGAAAAATGTTAGGACCAATATTTCACACTTAGTTTAACACTTAATGCACGCAGACTTTGAAATGTATTAAAAAGACATGTAAGAAGGCAATGACTATTTAACAAATTAAGTTTTCATTATCTTTGGTCCAAATTAGATGGCTTTAAATTTTCTACATAGTTGTGTGCACTTATTTCACAGCGTGTGAATGTATCTTTCTCACTGATTCATTGGCCTTTCCAACTTACCTGTGCTGTTCAGGTAACCAAAGATCCACACTCTTAACACGGTAGTTCTTGTTTCTTGTGGCATCTCACTGAAACCATTATTCAGTCCTTTTATGCTAAATGGACAAACATTGGTAGCATTATTAATCAGACGTCAAATCAATGGTAATATTTTCTATTGACATGACAGAAAACAAGTTTGGAAACCTTCAATAAAGATGGTCAATAATCAGGCTTTGTGCTTGTTGTTTCAAGTATCTCTCCCACATTGAATAACTGCTCAGAGATAAGTCGCAAAATCTGAATGAAGTTCATTTGTAGCTGAATTGAGTTTTAATCTTGAAATTCCCAAGCCGCTGTAAGGCACTTATTACTAAATGTCACCACTGACTATTAACAGCTTGTTTTAGTTGTTTTAGTAGGGGCTATTGTTACAATTACATACAAGGTAAATAATGATTGTAAATGGAGAAGAACACACTCACACAGCTTGGTAACCATCACAGGTTATGTTCCTCATCAGAAGGCGGTAGAGAACTGACTGAGAAATGCCAGCAATGAAAGGCCTGAATCTCTCCTGGAACCATTTCCTCAGGAAATCTGGGTCGGTTAAATTTTCATTGGTCTTTACAATCTCCCACAGAGCATTCGTGAACGTGATCTTTGTCATCAAAGGAATCGATGATGTGTTCAGGGTCTAAAACAAATCATGATGCATGTTGAAATTCATAGAGGGAAGAGATTATTTTGTGATACATCAAATCAGAGGGAACGTGGAAAATTAGATTATTGCTAACCCAAAATATCTTACAGCAGGATTATACAAGTTCAGGGAACATAATATACCTTCACCCCTGATCTTTGTCTAAACAATTGATGGACTGTACAATTGTGAAAGATTTGTTTTGGCAGAATGGCAACAATATAGAATTTTAGCATTCCATGACGGTGCTAAAACAATTTAATTTTTGATTAACATTTTGCATATCTCTTTAACAGTCAGCCAGAGAAGAAACCAAAAGGTTCAGACTTTTGAATGAATCTCTTTAATGTTAACGTTAATGTCTCTCAGCACCTTCTCGCTGTAACACCACATTCTACACTCTACTCTGTTATTCTGACGTACCTGTATATTACAATCTGCCTGTAAAGCATGTAAGACAACACTTTTTTTACTGTACCTCGCTATATGTGACAGTAATAAATCAAATCGAATCAAAATCAAATCAGGTGGATCGGTTATTTTACATTCCTCCCGATTTTACTCTAATATGAAATCAATGGGAAATAAAACTGGGCAAGGATAAGCCACACGGCCAGTCTGATCAGGGCAGGCAGGTCATGTTAAAATTATGTTATTTGAGGAAGTCACAAGTCCGAAACCTCAATATCATTGCAGTTCATACTTTAACTTGAACCGCAAAGACGACACCTAGTCTTACTCCAGCCCAGATCTGGCCGCTGTCATCCATCCCAGCATGCTCTGCTGCTGGCTACCTGGAGGAGCCACAAGGCCTGGGTAAACATGTGGAAGTGTGTGGAGGAAGACTAGGGAATGGAGTCAAAAGTCTCAGCAAACACCCGGAGGGGGAACCGGGGCAGTGCAGCCCAAGTCGCTGTGAGGTTTCACAGCCAGCAGCAGTGAAAGTGAGGCATAGGAAGGAACCAGTGGATGCCAGGCTGATTGAATCGTTGTTGGTTTTCAGTCACAGCATCTTTACTTCACAAACTTATACTTCTGCATTCTTTAATTCAGCAAATAGGCAACGTATGGATAATTAAACAAAGTTATATCTACTTATAATAAAAGCCTAAAATATACATAAGCTTGAAATATCTGTTACTTTATCCCCTATTTTGTTTGGATTTTATATCGCTCAAGTTAAGTTGAATAAGGTAGCAGCTCATGGAAAAGCTTCAAATGGCTCAGTGGTTAGCACTGCTACCTCACAGCCCCAGGGACCCGGGTTCGATTCCAGCCTCAGGCGACTGTCTGTGCGGAGTTTGCCTGTTGTCCCTTTGTCTGCCTGGGCTTCCTCCCACAGTCCACTGATGTGCAGGTTAGGTGGATTGGCCATGCTAAATGTGGGATCATAGGGAAAGGGTGGGGAGGTAAGTCTGGGTGAGTTCCTCATCTGAGTATCGGTGCAGAACCAATGGCCTCTTTCTGCATGGTAGGGATTCTATGAAAGATAAAATCTGATTCCAGAGCCAACATTGCTGACAAAGATTTCTACTGAAAGACTATGACATGATTGCGAAGCTCAACATCAGCAAACATTTACTACATTTTTTAATTTCTTCAAAAGCAAATTAATTCTTTTACAAAGAATACATGGCATTTTATTAGGAAGCCCTTTTGAAGGCTGAAGGCTTTCAGCGTAGGATAGGGTCAAGATAAAAGAATGGAAGTTCAGCAAATGCTACTTGAATGATAAGGCAAGGTTCACAATGGATAGAAGGCATGTCTTCCTGACTTTGATTTCCCCAGGATTGCCTTGGAATCTCCAGGAGTTCAAGCTGAATCTCCAGGACAATGTAGTAAGCGAAATCAGGAGAAACATTGTAGAGACATTATAAAGGGGTGATCACAGAAGCTCCAAGGCACTGCTAATCAATCCATCAGAAGCTAAACATCCTGAGCAAATGTAGCACAAATGGAAGCCCCAGGACGGTCTCAGGGTGCTAGTAGACAAACAGCAATTAAAATCAATTTAATACTCTATTCATCTGATGATTCATATATAGAGTGTCTGGGGGGTGGATTTTCTGGGCATGAAGTGGTAAATCCATGAGCTGCTACCTTATTCAATTTAACTTGAGCGATATAAAATCCAAACAAAATAGGGGATAAAGTAACAGATATTTCAAGCTTATGTATATTTTAGGCTTTTATTATAAGTAGATATAACTTTGTTTAAATTATCCATACGTTAATCTGCTATCCATCTTTTTATGCTACTTAGCTCTGCAAGGTTTCACAGAAACCACACCTTAACAAGGAATGCAATTGCATTAATATACGAGACAGAAATCCATCTCAAAATGAATAGCTCCATCTCTGACATTCAACACGATCCAAAATGCTCAAAATCATGATTGACATCTCAGTGTTGTAAAATCTGACACAGAATCTAGATATAAGTAATCTACTGTATCTGAAAGGAGATTCTTATGCTTTTAAGATGACTTAGGCCAAGTTGAAGGAATGCTATTACAGTTTTGTGCCGATATATTGGGTCTTTCTCCACAGCATTGGAGGCCCTGAACATGTACGGAGAAGGTAAAATCAGCAGATTAGTGTATCCAATTTTGCTTATCTTTAGGTATCACAATTAAATCAGAAATATTCTATAAAGAAGCTTTCACAGTAATGTGTAAAAAAAATCACTGACCCTGCATATACATAATAGTTTGAATAATTCTGCTTCTCTACAAATTATTTCCACTTAATAATGAATTACCTTGCTACTGAACTTGTCCAGTGCATCATTCAGTGTGGTTCTGTCAAGCTTCTGAAGGAAGACAGTCAATGCCACTTCATCTGACCTCTTCAGAGGCTTCAGGTCAATCAAACACCCAAATACATCCGTCAAGGTATCACTGCTTAAACCTGAAAGCAGTAGATCAGTCTGCAAAATAATCCATTTAGAAAAAAAGACGTACGTCAGATGAAGGTATTCAAGTACAATGTGTGAAATATTAACAAGTGAGGAATAAGCCACTGTGAATCACATCATTCTGTAGGACAGGCAAGTGTTTTTATAATAGTAATTAAAATTCAGCCTTAGGTTACAGCAGCTTTACAAAACTTTTGCTTTATTTGAGTGGAAATGCAGCTTACCCGAGCACAGGCATAGACTTTAATGTTGAAATTGCAGAGTTGGGTCTTGTTAACTTCGATCAGGAAATTATTCAAAGCAGAACTGCAGGGAGAAAAAAAAAACCCTTTTCTTAGGTAAGGAAACTTACTGAGGAACAAATAGCAGAAGAAGTTGCTATTAGTGTCACTGGGGAGGTGATGGTGTGGTAGAATTATCACTAGCCAAAGACCTAGGGAATGTTCTTGGGACCTGGGTCCAAAACCTGCTACAGCAGATGTTAAAACCTGAATTCAATTATAAAAAACAGGAATTAAGAATCTAATGATGACCATGAATCCATTGTCAGTTGTTGGGGGAAAACACATCTGGTTCACTAATGCCCTTTCAGGAAGGAAGCTGCCATCCTTACCTGGTCTGGTCTACAGGTGACTCCAGATCCACAGCAATGTGATTGATGCTTAAATGCCCTCTAGGCAACTAGGGATGGGCAATACTGGCCTGGCAGTGATGCCCTCATCCCATGAATGAATTTTTAAAAAGTGAAGTTACACACTGGCAAATTTATTAAGAACATAGGAGCAAGCTGTTCAGTCCCCTGATTCCAGATTATGACTGATCATCTAGCTGTTTTTAAAATTTGTTTCTGGAATATGGGCATAGCTAGCTGGGCCAGAATTTATTGCCTGTGCCTAATTGTGCAGAGGGCAGTTATGAGTCAACCACATTGTTGCGGGTCTGGAGTCACATGTAGGCCAGACCAGGTAAGGACAGCAGACTTCCGTCCCTGAAGGACATTAGTGAATCTGATTGTTGTTTTAAAATAAAACAATCAACAGGAGTTACAGGGTCACCATTAGGTTAACTTTTTGGTTCCAGATTTCTATTCAATTCACTTTTCCCAATCTGCCATGGTGGGATTTGAACTCATGTGCCCAGAACTTTGGCCTGGGTTCCAGATCACTAGTCCAGTGACATCACCATACGGCATCCAACTGCTATTTTCATGTACTGTCACCACATCACTTGGTGTGACTAGCATCTAGAAATCTGTCAATCCCTATCTTCAACATATGAAATGACTACGTTTTCACAGCTATTTAGGATACAGGATTCTAACGATTCAGTATCGTCTGACTGAAGAAATTCCTCCTCATCACAAGCTTGCGGATGTCATCATTCTGAGACATTGATTCTAGACCTCTCAGTCAGAGAAAGAAACATCTTTTGTGCACCTAACGTGTCTAGACCTTTAAAAATTCTAAGTTTCAAGAGATTATCTCTCATTCCTCTGAACTTTGGACAGAACAGCCTATGTGTTACAATAGCATCTTCCCAGAACTCACCTAGTGAACATCCCTTGCACTGCCTCTATGGAAGGTACACCTTTCCTTAGATAAAAAGGGCCAAACTGTATATAATACCTCGAGTCTCATCAAGATTCCAACAGATTGAAGCAAGACATCCTTACTCCTATAATAAAATCTTCTTACATTCTTACCTGTTCACACCTGTACACAGCGTTGTTTCTGTTTCAGAAAAAAACAAAAATGTATTTAGAAATTGCTTCACTAAAATTATCTGATAAAATCAGGAAAAAATGTAGACAAAATACTCACCATTAACTGTAGTATTACCAGGCTAAGGAAGAGAAAGCACAATAATATGTTTACAACTGGAATATCTTAAGTTGATGGGATAAATACAACTTGAAAAACCATGCATTTCTATAAAAATTATTTTATATTTGCAAAAATATGAAACAATTACAAAATCACAAAAATTTAAATCAATAACTGTACATTGATAAAATGGAGACTGAATCCAAAATAGAGGCTTTAAGATTGATAAGGTTAGAAATCGGATTGAAAATTGATCCCATTTTAAGTGCAAAGTGTTTAGTTAGCCTTACCCTATCATCAGGCCGGGGTTCTGAAATAAAACAATGACTTTTGTTAGAAGATACTTCTGATAATGCATCAGTATTAGAAACAATGATTTTACTAAATTAAATGATATTCTGATTTCGGAAGAAATAGGAAACATTTAGAGAACATTACAACCCCTTGGTAGTGAAGCTCATCTATTTCCATAATAGAATGTGTCCATACTTTATGACAGATTAACATTGTACTTTAGAATAGAAGGGCTATTGTTCAAGGAGATTTGAAATAAAAACCGAATATGCTGGAGAAACTCAGCAGATCTGGCAGCTTGTGCAGAGAGAGAAACAAATTGGATGTTTTGAGTCAGCTATGACTTTTCTTTGTAACAGGAGTCACTGGCCTCAAGATGTTTATCTCTATTTCTCTCTCCACACATGCTACCAGAATTTCTCCAGCACTTTCCACTTTCATGTCACTATACTGTGACATTCATAATCCCATACATTACAATTGATGTGTGTAATTATTGGTATAAAATAACATAAAAATCACCAGGTTACACATGTGCAAATGGACTCTGAATGACATCCAGCTCCACCTTAGCACTGTCACTCTCAGCTCATTTACTGTTACTAAATTTTCAGGCCTTTTTTTTGACATCCATTTGACATCCAGTACCTGGTGAGCAGGATCTTCCTCCAATTCAATTATAGAAAGACCAAATCCATTGGCTTTGATCCATGCTATAGATTCTCCCATTACTGACTTCACCCCATCTCCCTAGCAACTGTCTGGGAATAATCCTGGCCATTTGCAAATTTGGTTTCAAAAGTGAGTTTCCAACCACATATCCACACCTTCAACCTTTGTACTATCACCTGGTTCTGTCTTGTCTCAGTTCATTTGTTCATAAAATACTCACACACACCTTTGTTAACACTGATCTTGGCTACTTGAATGCACTCCTAATTAGTCTTCCACATTCTACTCTTTGTAAATTTGAGACTATTCAAATATCTACAGGCCATTTCCAAATTTGTGACAAATTCCATTCATCCCATGCATGCTCCCTATACTGGTGGCCTATCAACAATGCTGTGATTCTAAATCTCTCATTCTTGTTTTCAAATACGTCCACATTTTTACAATATTAACTTCTGAGATATCTGCATCATTTAAATTCTGTTCTCTTGAGCAGCCAGAATTTATTGGTCTGCTGTTGCCACCAGCTTCCTGGGTCCTAAGCTCTGAAATTTTCTCCTTCAACCTCTCCACTTGTCTGTCCTCCTTCAAGGATATTTTATATCCAAAGTCTACGACCCAGTTTCTGGCTATCTGCTCTCATACCACCTCATGTAGCTCAGTCTAAATTTGCTTTATAAACCATCTGTGTAGCAACTTGTGATGTTTCATCATGTAAAAGGTACTATATTAAAGTTATTGCTGTAGAAAATATGTTGAAAGTGCCTGGAGGCTTTTAAATACATGGCAAATAATAGGCAAGTACCTGATGAATTGTCAGGAATTCCTCCAGTCAATCCCAGTCTCCTCACTTCAGACTCAGTGTGTGAGGCCACCCAGATGACCACTACAGTTTCATTCACTCCACGCTGAAGATCTTGGAGGTTAATACCAAGCAGGTTAATCAGATCCTGGGAAGTCAGTTTCTGAAGGATAAAGAAATTAATTAATGAACACAACATTTTAAGGTTCATGCCTCATCACCAATTTACCTCGCAATGTGAAATTAAGTTGGAGCATGGTTCTAGCTCTGTCAAATTTCAACTAGCTATCATGTTGTAATATTTTCAATTCCTTCCAGAGATTCGCGCATTATTGAGAAGAAGGTACCTATTGCACTTTTTAAGTTTGTTTGAATTATATATTCACAGTCTGTGCTCTGATGTTTACTGGTCCCCATTTCGAATTCAGGAGTGTATAACACATATTACAGAGTTGCATATATTCACAGTATAAGTCCCGTTCTACTATCATCCAGATAACGCATCTCTTGCATATGGTTTCTCAATCTTTCAACAGGAAGACTAAAGATTGCATTGTTTTGTTCTGTGTCAGCAGTTCAGCCAGGAATCCAAATACTTCGCCCTTGTCTTCACAGCTTGCAATATTCATTCAATCAGATGCTTCTTGCCCTCTGCATTTTATTGCTTTAAGGTTCTCTCACTTAGAATTCTAAAGAATACAACATTGACTGCAAGTTAACTACCCTTTTCATTGATTATATTTTCTATTATATAACAGCAAAGACAATTAGTTTCTTTTAACTTCTGTTACTGATGGTCAATTTTACAATGGCATATCATCAATTAGCTGTGATGCTTCAGAGATCCAGTGCGTGAGCTGAGAATAAAATCTGAGACAAAGAAACTATAACTACTGTCTTCCAAACATACTCATAATTAGACTGTACTCACCTTAACTTCACCAGGATTCAAGCCCTTGAAGGTTTCAAAGTCCATGTTGATCCTGTTGTTAGCAAGAGACTTTAGATCATCAGCTGGAGCACCAGCTGTGGGGAAAAAAAACACCGTATCTTAGCTGTAGCCTTCCTTACAGCCAGAAATACACACTCTGGGTGAAGCTTGGAAGGTCAGGTGACAAATGGGCATTCATGGCAGAGGGAAACAGATGGCCCTGAAAAAGCAATTGCACAGTCTTGGACAGTTTCTATGGATACTGTAGTGACTGTAACAAGGTCAGCCAAGTGGACCTCATAGAATATAAGTCGCCTGATTGGGGCTGTTAATCTGGTCCAATCAGGGAGCCCTGGCTGACAGATATAAACAGAAGTGTCAGGGGTTCTGTTCGCTCGAAGAGCTGGCTCTGAGGGAGCTGGATCAGTGTCAAGTACTGTGCATGTGTAAATAAAGGGTGAGCTGGTGACGGGATACTGGCCTTCATGGAGTTATTTCAGACAATGCGTCATTTAACATACTTGAAAAAACTTTAAATGGAAAAGCATTTGCCGCCCATCCCAATTTAGAAGAATTGCTGGCACGGACCAAGATTTCAGCCCATCACTCCACCATCAGGCCTAATGACCCTAAACTTACTTACATGAATGCATCAATTGATGCGTGAATGCACCTAACATCCCCTTTGAAATGGCAGCAAGATGCTCAGACTTTTTGTTAACTTGGGGTTGGAACAATGTCTTCCTCAGAATTATCCACTGGTGGACTAAAAACCTTCAAATGCAGCTCTATCACTGGCAAATGCTTCTGTTTTTGTTCGCATTTCAATAGCATTCATCATTCTGTCATATAAATGAGTTACAGCTAACTGGTTATTTCTACTAATTTGACTGAGTTGTAATATCATTGGACCAGTAATTGATTAAACAAGATGAAAACGCCATCAAAAATATTGCACAAGGAGTGAAGGGAGATACTCTCAGATGTATAAACTGCAGTAATGTTTCCGCACACAGTTGATGGTCTGGAAGCTTTGTCAATCTGAGCTTCTGAATTTCAGTAAGTATTGTTGGTCCAGTGAGTTAGTGTTAACTCCAGACTGGAAAGGTTGAAACTCCACCTCAGTGGTTGTGGGATTCCTTCAGAGTCCTTTTACTCACCAATATAGGCCTTTATCAGCTGGAAGTAGGGGATTGGGTCACTTTGCTGAGACCTCAATTCCGAGAATGCCCGTTGATAAAACAAATCTTTCTTTAACTGCGTGCACGCAGTAAGATCCAAAGCTCCTGCATCCCTGTGGGAGAAAGGTTATGATGTTAATTTTGCATTGAGTTACTTGACACTGTTGAACACAATCACATTTCACTCATCAGGAAACTAGCAATGAAACGATACAAAACTCACGTCAAGTTTGAAATTGTCAACAGCTGCATTTTGTCCAAAGTACATAAGCTGGGTCCACCAATAGCTTTCAAAGAAACTGTATTTAGAACACCATCTAACTGGAGGTATCTTGTGACAATGGATTTGACCTGTTGAACGAGATGTCAAAGAGATACCCTGTCAGAAAGTAGGACCTAAAAATTTAAGGTGCTTCTTTTTGGGATGCTCACTTATCTCAAATTTAAAAGTATATAAGATACAAATAAAACTCCTGTTGTTATACAACATTATTTAGAAAACATCCATCAATAAGGCTTTTTTAATTTGGACCATATTTCAACTGCACCGTTCACAGGAAATAAACACCACAAACAAATATTGGAGAGGCTTTAAACATCTTTTTAGTTAAAACTGACACAATACGAACTTTGCTTTAAGAAAGTTGGTGGTCTTAACCATTGGTAAGTGTACATTCCAGTTATCTTTCCTCATCCAGTTATCCTTTCTCTGCAGATAACAATAACTTAACAGGAATATTCTCCTGGTTTCAGTACCGTTATGTTGTCCAGCTGTTGCTTCATTAATGCAGAAAGTGTCTCAACTCGAGTGATATTCCAGCTGCTGACTTCTGTCACATTAAACACAGTTGATATGTTCCCCAAAAGTTGAATCTGGTTTTCACGTAGTCCACTGGGATAAATCTGTTTCAGGGAATCGGAAATAATCAAATGTGGTCAGTTTTTAAAGTAGTGATTTCCTGTATTCAAATTCAGATTGCGTTTTAGATACGGAATATTTAGCAATTAATTAATTTCTAGTTATACATGTACAGTATCGCAAATCTGGATATTCAAAACTGCCAAGTCCAAGACCTGGACATTCCTTCAAGCTGCTTTGTGTGTCTTTTAATTCTTATTAACTGACTAAAATAACTTAATGGCTTGTAAGGCAATGTGCTGCCTGGTTATTGGCTTTGAACACCCATCTTCTCCTGTGCTCTCAGTTGCCCAAGAGACCGTTATCCTGGTCTGAATTGCCTGACCTGAACCTACCCAGACTGGAAACCAACAAGATCAAAACTATCACAATGATTAGGTTCCAAAGTTGGGGGTTTTGAGACTCTGCACCTGCATGTGTCGAATTTAGATCATACTATTGTCAGTATTTTAACAGTAAGTTTGTAAAGGAATCTTGGTCGTGTGTTTCATTATTCTTTTTTCCTGTTCGGGCTTCACTGCAGAGAATAGAGCACACAATCAAATCTGATCATACAATGCAGCATTGAGGGGGCTCTATACTGTAACAGTTGGCAATTTTGGGATGACAATGTGGTGATTGTAACAAGGTCAGTCATCTGGACCTTATGGAATATAAGTTCCATGACTGGAATTATTAATCTGGTCCATTCAGGGCTCCCTGGTTGATATAAAAGGGTGAATGTCAGGGATATTGAGCCCTGAATGCCTGATTCAATGAGAGGCAGGGCTTTTCTGAAAGGCTCTGCATTGTAAACAAAGGGTGATTGATGATGGGATGCTGGCCTCTGAAGAGTTATTTCAGAAAGGTCAAAGGGGGACATCTTCTGACCTCTCAAGTGGATGTGAAAGTTCTATCGACAGCAAGGTGGTGCCACGTATCTCAGAGATTCTGAGAATTTCTTTTACTCAGAGTCTTTGGAACTGTCTACCTCAGAAGACTGTGGAAGCTCAGTCTTTGAGTGTGTTTGAGGTAGAGATTGATAGTGAGATTGATTGATTGATAGTTGAGTAAAGGGGATGGGGTAGGTAAAAGGCATTGAAGTCTTCGATCAACCATGATCATACTGAATGGTAGGACAGGCTCAACAGGCTGAATGGCCTACTCCCATTCCTATGTTCATTCCTATGTTCTCCCCTTTTCTCCTTCTTAGCATATCATTATGCACAGTTCTTCCCCTTTGGGGAACACTCCTGCCTTGGGTAAAATGTATTGTTGGGGACTTGAACCCAGAGGTTCTGGCCCCGAAGGATGCACACTACACTGTGCCATAGAGCCTCCACTTTCTCTAAATATCACTAAAATAAATTAGGCAGCAAAATAAATTTGTGCAAAGTGACTGTCATGTTTAACCACATAATTAACTCACTGTAATACAAGCTGTTCCACACTGTGGACATTTCTAAGGTAGTGAAGAGCTTGATTTTAAGGCAAAGGTTCTTCCTCCTCATTTTACTTCATGGTCACATACCTTCAATAGTCTCTTTTTCAGAACTTCCAGCTGAGTAGGATTAAAGGCAAGAGCTCCCAGTTGGAGCACATTGTCTTTCAGCACACGGTCACCCAAACAGAGGTCTAACTGGGACGGGCCATAGATTGCAGGGGTCAGGTCATTAATGTCTTCTGCTGCGATTAAGCCCTCGGTGCAGTCTGGAAATACAAACCTCTATTAGATAGAACTTTGCAGTTTGTTGGTAATTTAGCTCTCAAAATACAAGCGGTCATTTTAACACTGTAATTCCTGGACTACAGAAGGGCTGAGGAAAGATGGCATCTACAGCATTACTGGCCTGCAGTTGACAAAGAACATTAAAGTATCTCTTGTTAATATGTACAGTGGAAATAACGACTTTGCCACCGGGAAAGAGATCATTTAACACACAGTTCCACGAACGTACTCTTTAAGCATGTAGCATTTAGAGCACACAAATTGCTTTTGCACCTTAATAAGTTCTTCTCAATGGGTTTGCCTCTGTGTAAACTCCGAAGTTATATTCCGATCTAAAACTTCAATGCTATTATATTCCGTTGAACTCAGCATATTGAACAATCAGACGGATTGTAAAGTCGTTTGAAAACCTCCCTTTCCATTTAATGAACTGAAGCTGTATCACCCTTTTAAAGACCAGACCTGCCCTCTTATTGATGAGTTGCAGATACATTTTATTTAATACTTATTCCAACGACATACTTGCTGTATTGTTTGATCTTCGCAGATTGAGCTGATTTATAAAGACCAGGATGTCATAAGGAGGTCTCGAACGTTTCGCTTTCTTTATAAATCTTGGAAGAGCTTCAAGAAGGACAACCTGCATTGGACAAAATGGATGCTGAGGAGTTTCAACAAAAATAATTCCTGATCTGTCAATGTGTGTATTTAAAGAGAACATTCTTCAGATACAGACGTTTAAACACATGTACCAACAGGTTCACAAACAGCTTCTTCCCTGTTGTTATTAGACTGCAGAATGGACCTCTCTAATTTCAAATCTAATATTGATTGTGCTTTTGTGCACCTCCTGTGCAGCTGTAACCTTGTATTCCTTGCTGTATCTAAACACCCTGTATGTCTTTGTAGCTTATAATCTGCCTGTACTGCATGCAAAACAAAATCTTTTACTGTACTTAGGTACATATAACAGCCATAAATCAAATCAAATCAGATATATAATAACCTGTCAGAGCAGGTCAGAGTTACATCAAATGAATGGTGGCTGCACAAACCCTATTCTCTACATCACAAATTAAAACTAAGCTTTCAACAGCTAAGCATGTTGCAAAAATAACATCTCCAGAGGTAAAAGCAGCTCCAGATTTCTGAATAATCTTCTCCAGATTTCAATGGCAGCTACAACCCATAAATATTCATTTTGAATGAGCGATAAACCTAATTAAAATAACCACAAAGTCATGGAATTTTACAGCATAGAAAGAGGCCCTTCAGCCCGTCATGTATGTGACAGTTGTCAACACGTATCTACTCTAGTCCTGTTTTCAAGCACCTGACCCGTATTCCTGCATACTATGGTGTTTGAACTGTTTATCTAAATACTTGTTCAATGTTGTGATGACTCCCTTCTCTACCACCCTTTCAGACAGTGAGTTCCAGATACCCACCACCATCTGGGATTAAAAGAAAAATTCCTTTAATCTCCTCTGAATTTTCTATACCTTTCCTCAAATCTATGCCCCCTGGTTATTGACTGCTCTATTAATGGGAAATGTTTCTTCCTATCTCGTCTATTTAAGGCCCTCATAATTTTGTATACCTCAATCAGGTCTTTCCTCAGCCTTCTCTGTGCCAAGGAAAACAAACCCCAGCCTATCTAGTCTGTCTTCATACCTGAATCACTCTACCATAGGCAACATCCTGATGAATCTCTTCTGCATCCTTTTTGGAGCAATCACAACTTACCTGTAGTGTAGCGACCAGAAGTGCACACAGTACCCCAGCTTTGGTCTAATTAACATCTTAAACAGCTCCATCTTAATGTTCCCTCTCTTGCATTCAATGCCTTGGCTGATAAAGGCAAGTGTTCCACCTGCTTTCTTAACCACCTTATCCATCTATCCTGCTGCCTTCAAGAATCTAAGGACATGCACAACAAGGTTCCTCTGATCTCCTGTACTTTGGAGGGTCCTATCATTTAACAGCTACTCCCTCAGCTTGTTCGTCCTCCCAAAATACATCACCTCGTACTTTTCAGGATTAAATTCCACTTACAAATGTTCAGCCCATCTGTATTGTACTGTAGTCTAAGGCTTTCCTCCTTATTCTGTCCCATGCCACCAATTCCCATGTCATCTGTGAACTCACAATCTCCTACGTTCATGTCGAGGTCAACAATGCACCGTGCAAACGGCAAAGGACCCATCACCAAACCCTATGGCATGCTACAACATATATTGTTTCCAGTCATAAAAACAATCTTCAACCATTTGCCTCTGCTTTCTGCCACTTGGCTACTTTTGGATTCAATCTGCCAAATTGCCCTAATCCCATGGGCTCTTACCTTTTTGAATCACTGTCCCATGCGACAAGAACCTTGTCAAAAGCCTTACTGAAATCCATGGAGAGTATCTGAATCACACTCCCCTCATCTACACATCTAGGGGAGGCAAGAACCTTGTGGTACCATCAGTAGACTATGAATCCCAAGACTCAGGTAATGTTCTGGGGATCTGGGTTTGAATCCTGCCATGGCACATGGTTGAATTTGAATTCCAAAGACGTCTAATAATGATCATGAAACCATTGTCAATATCAGAAAAAAAATGACCTTGTTCACTATTGTCCTTCAGAGAAGTAAACTGCCACCCTTACCTGGTCTGGATGACATGTGACTCCAGACCCACAGCAATGTGGTTGATTTTCAATCGCCCTTGGGCCATTAGGGATGGGCAATGAATGCTGGCCCACTCCTCTGAATGAATTTTTAAAAAGTCATCTCTTTGTAAAGGTCAATCAAACCTGTCAAACATGATCTCCCCTGACAAAGGTCTGACTGCAGTTGATTGAATCTTGCTTTGCCAAGAGATAATTCTATTCCTCAGCTTTTGTTTTCCCCCCCAAAGGTTTCCCTACCATTGATGTCGGACTCACTAGCCTATAGCTCCCTGTTATATCCTCACTACTCTTCTTGATTAATGGTACCACATCGTTGACCTATTGTCCAGTATAAATATTCATGTTACTAAAGTTAGCATGCACATGGCAACGAATTCAAACAATACTCATGTTTTGATAAAACGAGAATGTGTATTAATTACATGGGGATGGATCACTTAAGTTTCTCAGGAAAATGCTTAACCTATAGAGTCTATTATATTACAGTTAGGAAATTTTGAAATAAAGTCACCATAGTCCCACAGGACCTTAGTGTTGCTCTCTCATTAGAGAAAGAGGACTGGCGGCAGTTTAACTATTGTCTCATAAACATAAGTATCTGAATCAACCTTCAACCAAATCAACCATACCCTGTTTATTAGAGTCCATGTGTCAGTCAATGTCAAAGGAAGGTTTCCAAGATCTTGGATTGTCGATGATGACCATGACGAAGGAACACTGCAGATAAAGAAGAACTGAATTAAAGAACGTTATACTGAGAGTGCTGAGAAAAATAAGAAGTGTTAGAACTTAAGAGGAGAAAGGTTTTTCTCGCTTGCCTTTTGCCATCCTGACAGTTATGAAATAAATCAACAATGGAACGGTTGAGTAAGTATGGTGATGAATCTCTATCAATTTATTTAAAACAACACCAGATTTGAAGCGAACAAAGTCTCAAACAAAGTACAAAGTTCTGGGTACCATAGGTAAAATCACTTGTTCTTCCAAAGCACACATACAGATCTATTGTTGGAAGCTGCCAAACTTCAAGCTTAAGCCTGTTCCTAATATCATCTACCACTTTCACTCACATGTGTGTAGGGTTTCTTCTAAAGAAAGTACGTACATTCCTCTTGGAATTACATGTAGCATGAAATTGAGGTCCTCGGGTGTAATGTGTATGGAATTATGTGAACATTTCACACTCACCCATATCTGCTGGCCCCACTCTTAAGGCGACCTTCAATGGCTCTCTTCTGATCCTCACTGTATGAGCGACATATTTTCAATGCGTCCAAGATGGAAATATCAGATTCTGCGATGATGGATCCGTCAAGGTCACACACCAATTTACCCAGGATTGTCACACTCTCCTTCGTCAGATTCCTGCCAGAAATTCCCTGAGTAATTGGAAACATAAGCAATTTCAATTCAGCAGCAGGATACAGTCAAAAACAAATGAGATCCAGTTCACCTTCATAACTTGACAACAAAGACTGCATAAAATAGCACAATCATAATTTATCAACATTATGAGGGAGAGATTTTAATTTGACCATGGATTCACTCACTATCAGCTGACAATGCAACCTCAGGAGAATTAGTTGGACACTGATGCAGTATTCATTCTTCTCTGTGATGCTGATCAGGCAATCAAATAAAAAATTTACTATGCCAATCAAGAATATTGATAATGCAGCATAAATTGAGAAATTTTTAAGCATTATTGCATTGCAAAAAATCATTTGGCCCTGTTGCTGATATGGTTTTATTTGTGAAAGTAAAAGCAAATTTAAATATAGTTCCATAGTTCAGAAACAAGTCCACAAGGAGTTAGATCTATTTGGTATATGAATGAGTGCAGCTCTCACAGCACTAAGTGTCGGAATGGATTATGGTTCATTCCCTGAAGAGTATAACTCTCACTCGTTTGTGTGTTGGTTCCTTCGGGTTTCATTCTTAAGAAGTCTGTTTTGTTGATCTGTCCTGTTTGTTTAAGTCTTTGTAGCGTGTATAGGATTTTGTTGCCTAGTTGTGGTGTCGGGTCAGTCTGTACTGGTCGGTATGTGTTCTTGTCGGCGAGCAGTGCTTGTGCTTTGGAGATGTAGTCCTTTTCATTCATTATCACTGTCATGCACCCTTTGTCTGCAGGTAGTATAGTGATGTTCTTGTCCTTCTTTAATCTGTCCAGGGCTTGTCTTTCCCATGTGTTGAGGGTGTTGAGTTCCCTCTTTCTGGTTAGTGTCAGGACTACCGTCTGTCTTATAATTTGATGTGTTTTTTCGTTGATATTGTTGGTCTTGAGTGCGGCTTCCAGTGTAGCTAGCAATTCCGTTTTGTTGGCATCCCTGTAGTTGTAGTTCAGTCCCTGGGTGAGAACGGCTTTTTCCGCGTCTGTCAGTTTTCTGTCGGAGAGGTTCCTTATCCATGTGTCAGTTCTGTTGTTGTCGTTTTTGTGGGTAAGTGTGGTTAGCTTGTCTTGCAGGGTCTGTCTTTTCTTGGCTCTTGTGGTCTGTCGGCTGATGTTAATGGCTTGTTCCATGTCGGTTGTCCAGTCTTGATTGGCAGCTTCCGGGAAAAACGTTTTTTGGCGCATAATTTCTCTGTTGCATTTGTGGAGCCGGTTGTGTGCGTCGTTTATCATTATCTTTACCATCTTGCGGCCGTTTTGTTCTGCCGTTTTCCAGGCTTATGGGTTGTTGATGGGTGGTTTGTACTTCACACTGCGTGGTAATACTTGGTTCCTGAGGCATCCATGTAGGAAGTAGAGCTGTTCGCAGGTTGTGCTCTCTCGTTTACAAAAGAGCACAACCCTCGAACAGTATAACTCTCAGCTTTCCGTGCAAAGGGTACCACTAAAACGGGATACGATATATGCACTCGGCCTAGCAAAGACCACGAAGCCTGCTTTAGAAATCTATCAATACGTTCTAGTCTCAAAGAATGAGTAGTTTCATGAAGTCTACTAGTAAATTAAAATGTCCGTTTTCTATCATGTTCATTTGTAAGTGCAGCCTACCACACCTATGGCCGCTAACGTGATTCTCCTCACCACTTTCCCTTGGTGTATTGAAGATGACCACTTTATGCCTGGGTAGTCATCTTGTCTGTATACTAATATAGTTGTGGAGTCTACTTCAGACCTGAATCTCTTTCCACAGTGTGGGCAGGGCTGAACTGTTTGATTTTGCTGCAACAGCTATGTTTTACCAGCTCCCTTTGAACTTAGCTACTTGTACTCTTCGCTGCTAAAAGGAAACAATGGCACAACTTGAGGACACTGCCCACGTGGAGCCTTTCGGACAATTTTCCTCTCAGTCTATGGTGGAATGCCACATTTCCTAAATCACCTTCAAAGAGTACTTGAAATGTATTCTTGGCCAATCTTGCAGTTGTTTCAGAGTTTAAGTTGAAATACATGATCACCTAAAGGAGTTTAACCGTAAAATCATAAAACTTCGGAGCAGATTACGAGCAATTGAATATACTCTGCCATTCAGTGAGATCGTGGCTCATCTTATAATTCTCAACTCCATTTGCCCCATAACACTCAATTCTCTGACTGAATGGAAATCTGTTTATCTCAGACTTGAATATACATAATAACCCAGCCTCTACAACCCTCTGCGGTAAAGAATTTACAGATTTACCACCCTCAGAGAAGAAATTCCTCATTTCTGTCTTAAGTGTGCAACCCCTAAATCTGAGATTGTGTCCTGTGGTCCTAGACTCTCCCACAAGACGAAACAGCCTTTCAGTCTGTCAAGTTGTCTAAGACGTTTGTATGTTTCAGTAAGGTTGCTACCCATTCTTCTGTATTCCAATGAGTACAGGTCCAACCTACTCAACCTCTCTTCAGAAGAAACTCCCTCCACATCGGGATCAAATTAATGAACCGTCTCAGGATTCCTCCAATGCCAGCTTATCTCTCCTGAGATAAGAGGCCCAAAACTGTTCACAGTATTTCAGGTGTGGTCTGAACAGGGCCTGGTATAGATTTAGCAAAGCTTCCCTATTTTATAATCCATTCCTTTGAATAAAGACCAACATTGCATTTCCCTTAATAAAAACTGAAAGAGCTGCAGATGCTGTAAATCCTTCCATTTCCCTTCCCCATTAACTGCTGAACTTGTGTGACACCTTTTCTGTTATTCATGAATGAGGACTTCCAAATACTTCTGCACTGTATCTTTCTGCAGTCCTTCTCCATTTAACTAATATTCAACTCCTCTATTCTTCCTGTCAAGGTGCTTAATGCCAAATTTTCCCACATTACATTACATCTGCTAAATCACGTAACCTGTCTGTATCCCTCTGCAGACCCTTTGTGCTATTCTTATCATGAGCCTTACCTCCTATTTTACATCATCTCAAACTTGGCAATTGTATCATCATTTTCCTCATCAAAGTAATGAACACACATTGTAAATAATTATGGCCATAGTACTGTTGCCTATAACACTCCACCAGTTATACGTTGTCATTCTGAAAATGTCCTCTTTCCCCAACTCTGTCTTCTATTTGTTAGCCAATCTTTGATCCACGGTAATACAGTACCTCAAGCACCATGGCAATTTATCAAGTAGCCTATCGTCTGACACCTTATCAAACACCTTCTGAAAATCCAAATATATTATATCCATGACTTCCCCTTTACTATTACCTCAAAAGAAAATTAACGAATGTGCCAGGCATGATTTCCCCTTCAGGAAATCACATGGACTTTGCTTTTCGTATTTATTCTTCACTCATTCACGGGATGAGGGCATTGCTGACCGGGCAGCATTTATTGCCCATCCCTAATTGCCCAGAGGGCAGTTTAGAGTCAACCACATTGTTGTGGGTCTGGAGTCACATGTACACCAGACCAGGTAAGCATGGCAGTTTCCTTCTCTAAAGGACATTAGTGAACCAGATGGGTTTTTCCAACAATTGACAATGGATTCACAGTCATCATTAGACTCTTAATTCCAGATATTTTTATTGAATTCAAATTCCACCATCTGCTGTGGTGGGATTCGAGCCTGCGTCCCCAGAACATTATCTGGGTCTCTGGATTAACAGTCCAGCGATAATACCGCTACGCCATTGCCTCCTGTAAATGCTCTGCTATTAATTCTTTATATTAAGCATTAACATTTTCTCAGGAACAGATGTTATACAAATGGGCCTCCAATTACCTGTTTCTTGTCTCCTTCCCTTTTTGAATATGGGTGTTATATTGGAAGATTTCCAAACCTCTGGCACTTTTCCAGAATCGAAGAAATCCTGGAAGATTTCTTCCAGTGTGTTCACCATTTCTTTAGCTATTTCCTTTAATATCCTAGGATGCAATCCATCAGGTCCAAGGGACTTGTCAGCCTTTAGTCTCATTAGTTTTTCCCCTAGCACTTTTTCTCTAGTGCTAGTAATTGTCCTCATCCATAAATCACAAAGAAGCTATCATACAAGTTCAGCAGATAATGGGGAAGTGAAGTTGAATGTTGGCCTTTATTTCAAAGGAATAGAGTACAAAACAGGGAAGGTTTGCTAAAACTTTACCAAGCACTAGACCTTCTCTTCCTTTAGCACCTTGAGTATTTAGCATTTTCGGAATGTGAAGACTGATGCAAAATATTCATTCAACTCCTCTGCCATTTCCTGCATTATTATTTCTCCAGCCTCGTTCTCTAAGGGACCTATATTCACTTTGGCCCAGCTCTTTCTTTTTATATATCTAATAAAAGTCTTGCTGTCAATCTTGAGATTATCTGCAAGTTTACCCTAAAAGTTCATCTTCTCCCCCTTTATTATTTCTTTGGTTATCAGCTGTAGGTTCTAAATGTCCACACCGTCCGATTTGAGGAATAATGCAGAACTCTAAGATACACAGGCATATTGTAGGGTTGGTGATACCGTAGCTTTGTACCCACCAAATATCACTGCAAGACTGACGCCTTATATCCTACAATGTATCATGTGTAAATGGGAAAAGGTAGAGCCTGCTCTGGCAATTTTTTTTTGACATCACTTTTGAGCCGTGTCTGGAGACAGGTAGCTGACTATAGTCCTCAGGGGTATGTCATACGTAGTTATTGTAGGTAACTGTATTCTCCCAACATAAATATTTAACATCTCTTCATCACTCGTGCATGCTCAAATTTCAATGTTCAAACCAATGTACTGATGAGCAACATTCAAAGTGAATACTGGCCATTTTGAAAGGAGGTAGATTGGGAGAGCAGAAAGATAAGTCAAGAAATGGAACTGAGAAAGAAAACTGAGCTCTCAGCGATTAATTGTGACCATTGCTCTGCCTTCGGTGCTACTGAAGTGCTGACTCTCAAAGGGCTGTCCTTACTTGTCACTCTAATGCAAGGTTGGAGTGGTCAGGCATTTCTCTTAAATTTACATCGACACAACGTATAACTGGCTTTCATCAGTGCTATTGGGATGTTGGTTACAACTATCCCCAGCTTGTACTAGCTCAGCACGTCATCCTTACCAAGCAGGTCATGGCATCATATAACAGGTTCCGTCTTCTTCTTGATCCCTTTCTCAAGACGTCAATATTTGATTTCCCAACTAATTTGAAGAATGTTTGGCAGTTGAAGGAACTCCTGAACTGTGCAGAGCTACAGAAGGAAATAGGAGTTTGTTCAGATTATATGAAGGAGAATGAACCACTTAATTGGTAATTCCTCCAGTTTAAATACAAAATACTCTTCTGTTCTCTCCTCCTGTTTAATCAGAAAAACTAGTTCTTAAAAAATTCAAAGGGGCATATACCTCAATTTATAAACACCATACACAAACATTGTTTAAAAATGACTCATACAGACCACCTGTTCTTGGTATCTGAGCCTGTGTAGAAGTCATTAATCCCAATGCTGCTCTCCAATTTGCTGGGAATATGCATCTCTTCCAATAACTGTATTTTCTATGTCCTGAAACAACTGCATTACATTTCTCTGATGCAATGAGTGGAAGAGAAATGAAAATATCTACAGAATTACCAGGACATGAAGAGATCTCATGGTTTTGACATATCAACTAATCTACTGCCTATTGAGTTGAACTCTTCATATTTTCCATTAAGTCAACATACTTTTGATAAATGTACTCCAGTTTTATATCTAAGGGAATGCACAAACGTCCTTACGCATTCGGAGATACTCGTCAATAAAGCATCATTCAAAAAAAAATTGAGTAAAAATCTACTGAAATAGAACATACTTGAAGAATAGGAGAACATCCACAGGGAGAGTCTCTATGGCTGGTGTGGTTCTGTTCGAAGTTAGTCTTGCAGACATGCACCTCAGCTGAAAAGAGAAACCAGTAATACATACTGAGAACAGAAACACAACAAACTTGTACTTGCTGATGTTTCTCACTACTTACCCTTCTGTCTAGAGGTTGGCTAGACAGGCAAATTCACTTAAGCTGTTGAGCAATAGAAACTGCAAGGATTCACAACATGTGATTCAACTCAGCCTGCTTCACAGATTTAAAATGAAATTTACTCACATTTAAAATCGATGAAATTCTGACAACAGTGCACTTGAAAAATCAAGTTAAGAATGTTGTTAAAATGAGTCTCAGACAGTTGAATGAGGATCTTACGTTGGCAATAGTCCAAGCTATAAATGTGCCGTCAATCAGTCATTTGATCAAAGCTAACAGTGCTCTGTTATCACACCTTATCCTTGTCCAGACATTAAATGGCAGCATTTTAAAAATGTGCTCTTAGCACTGATATTTAGCTTAAAAAAATCATGAACTTGAATGTGGAAATCATCCATATCCTCAGGATTTTCCAAGCAGAGTTATTTTGTACAACATGTTCATTTATTGTACATTTGAATTCATCCATCTGTAACAATGGGCACTGTATGGTCATACGCTCAAACTATTCTCCCATGTGATTGCTTTGAATGGTCTCACCTGACTTTCATCAAACTTGGCCCCTTTCCCCTTCATTGCTTGAACAAGCTGGAGAAACGCTGTAAAATTCAGCTCCTTAACTGCACCACAACTGAAGCCTTGAAGGACAGAAGGTGAGAATCTGAAACAAATATTGGGACCGTTAATTAATTTCCAAACACTCCATTCCTTCTCACACTTAGCTGTTGAGACAATATGAACAGTCAGGAGGAACTGAGCTGCGGAACAATAGCTTATGTTGTTTTAAGGAAGATTTCTATCAGGTACATGATTATATGTTGATGAAACATCCAACACTGTTTATTTATTCTGACTAGCACCTGATTAAAGTAGTGTACCAGAATACAGATTGCAACTGGAGGAAGAGGGAACAGTTGGGCTCCAAAGATTATTGGATCATATACTGACCAATCGGAGCTTCATATGGTGGGACCCAGTAACAGTGGGCCAATTTTCCGGCAGTAAACATACTTTGTTAATATTAGTGAGAACACCAAAGCTGTAACAGGTCTAATAATTGAAGTGAATTAAGGTCCCGTTGTTCGGGAAAGGGAATTCTACTCTTCTTTTTTTTATTGACTCACCGAGTGAGAGTGATGCTGGCTGGGCCCAGCATTTATTGCCCGTCCCTAGTTGCCCTTGAGAAGGTGGTGGTGAGCTGCCTTCTTGAAATGCTGCAATCAGTTTGGTGTCCGTATACCCATGATGCCATTAAGGGAGAGAATTTCAGGTGTCTGACCCAGCAACACTGAAGGTATATCTCCAATTCAGGATACTGAGTGACTTGGACAAGGTGGAGATGTTCCTATGTATTTGTTGGCCTGGTCCTTCTAGATTGTAGTGGTTGTGAAGGTGCTGTCTCAGTCATCTGGGTGGATTTGTGCAGTGCATCTTGCAGATGGTACCCATTGCTGCTATTGAACATTGATAATTGAGTGGGTGGACATTTGTGGACATGGTACCAATCAATCAGGCTACTTTGTCCTGGATGGTGTCAAAATTCCTGAGTGTTGTTGAGTTGCAGTCATCCAGGCAAATGGAGATTAGTCCATCACACTCCTGACTTGGACATTGCAGAGGTGGACAGGATTTGGGGAGTCAAGAGGTGAGGTGCTAAAAGAATTCCTAGCCTCTGGCCTGTCCTTGCGATCACAGTATGGCTAGTCCAGTTTCTGGTCAAGGTAACCCTCAGGATATTGACAGTGGGGGATTCAGTAATGGTAGTACCATTGAATATGAAGGGGTGATGCTTAGATTGTCTTTTGTTGGAGACAGTCATTGTCTGGCACACGTGTGGCGCAAATGTAACTTGCCACTTGTCAGCACAAACTTAGATAGTTTCTAGGTCTTGCTGCATTTGGGCACGGTTTCCTTCAGTATCAGAGGAGTCATGAATGGTACTGAACTTTGTGCAATCAGACCTTCTGCATCTTTGCCACCTTCAGTGCTTCCTCCAAATAGTGTTCAGAATGCGGGGAGTACTGATCCATCAGTCACGGGAGGATGGTGTGTGGTAAACACAAGGAGGTTTCCTCGTCCACATATGATTTTGTATATAAGATATGATTCCATGGGTATGATAATGTAAGGCTGTTGCTTGATCGGTCTGTGAGACTATGAGATATGTAGCAAGACTCCATCAAAAACTAAATTACACCGATAATGACATAGGCACGCAGAAAAAGACCATCATCAGGGAACCATAAGCATTGCAAAAGATAATTCCTTACTCTTTAAAATTGTTGCTGCTTCTGACCACATTTTCAAAGAACACTGCAGCCTGTGAGAGAAAAGTATTGAAATTATTCAAACACACAATGGCGTTACAGACTTTCTTTTCAAACTGACATAATCCGGTTACCATAAGAATGTGGACTGATTTTGAAATTAATCTGTGCATTTTCAATTCCATCTGATCTTTAACTCCCTTAGTATCATCATGGAGTGTCAGAGAATCAGACTGTTTACCTGACTGGGAGCCCATTGCTTGTCGTTGACGTCACTGAGGCTTAAGTTTGAGTTTAACAGGACAGGGGGGACCTCTTTGGCCAGAACAGATGGAATGTTCTTCACTGTTTGTACAGGGTCTTCCACATTCCGCAACACCTGAAAAACAAGGAAACAGAACAGATCTTACTCCCACACAAACTAAACCCTATTGGCAATATCTGGGGGTGAAAGCTGTCTTGACATAAAAGAGTCGCAATTTTGAAAAAAAAAGACACATGCTGAAGTCAGAAACTGACTAGACTGGAGTTGAATTAAGTGTTCCAATTAATTTGACAGTCAATGTCACCCACCTGCAAAACACATATGGTTTGTATGGACTGTGGCGCTGTTCCAATATTCTCAACAAATGTTGGATTTGAGATCACATTGATGAACACCCGAGGATTGATGTCTTGGAACACGCCACTTGGAATACCAGACACCAAGCTTCCCAGCCCCAGGAGGTTGTCGGCGTTACCGACCTGGTTAGAAAGCAAAACATACATCAAAAGCTGTCAGGACCAAATCATAGGATTATGCCATTTTCCAACTTTTTGTGACATATTATGAAATGCAAATACAAACGTAGCTGGCTTCTCTTGTGAGCACAGGAATGGTCATGGAAAATATGCTCTCCCATCACATCTGTTGGCTTTATTTTGCCACATGGCCTTACATTCAATCATACTCGGTCTACTCGAGAACATGCTAAATATTATTGCAATTTGTGTTTCAAGGTATAAGGGCAGGCTGGAAGAAACTCAGATTGTTTTCTCTGGAGCAGTGGAGGCTGAGGGGAGACGTAACAGAAGTCTATAAAAGTATGAGATGCATGGATAGGGTTGACGGTCAGTATCCTTTTCCAGGAGTTGAAACTAATGCTGGGGGGGCATGCATTTAAGGTGAGGGGGAAAGTTCAGAGGAGATGTGAGGGGCATGTCTTTTTTACACAGAGAGCGGTAGGAGTCTGGAACATGCTGCCAGAGGTGGTGGTGGAGGTAGATACCCCAGGGGCATTTAAGGGACATTTAGATAAGCACATGAATAAGTAAGGAATGGAGGGATCTGGACCAAGGGCAGGCAAAAGAGATTAATTTAATTTGGCATCATGTTCAGCACAACATTGTGGGCCTGAGGGCGTCAACCTGTGCTGTACAATTCTATGTTCTATGTTCTAAGCTACTGAAGGATAAAGCATAAAGAATAGTTGGGAAACATTTCTGAAAATGTACTTAAAATTTGCCAATTTAATAGGACTTGTCAAACCGTTGAGTCTTGGACTGAGGATAGATCTGTTCTAAGATGCAGTCTTAAAAAGAAATTACCTATAATGTGTCAGAAATTTATGTGTTTTCACCTCTGGCTCATTCATCTCAAATTTCCATCTCCCGTACACAATTCGGGTGAACCCAGATTTGATTAAAACATGGAGATTATGATACACTGTACTTTGATGCTCTCCCTATCTGCAAATACGTCAAAAAAAAGTCTGAAGGGTCTGGTGCTGCTTCTACACCTCAACCTCACCGGGATTTTACATCAGATTTTTAGCCATTCCAGGGACATCAATTTACTTCACAAGGGAAGCATTCTTTAGTTGCCTCTTAATCATCTCAAACGTCTGACAGTAGCACTGTACCCAAAACATGGGAAAACACTAACCTGTAGTCACTAGACAAGAGAGGAAACTCCTATTAAGTGCCACAATGATTTGTTTCTTGATATAGATGGTTGAGCGAAACAGGTCAGTGAACATAATATACACATTTCAGATTTATTGAGCTCTTACCTGAAAGCCATTTCTCAGTAACCTGATGACAATCGCATTGGCCTGGCCCACATTCCAGCCTCTGACTTTACCCAGGCTTGGCAGTGCATTCTGCAGAGTCTCCCCGTCAATATTTCCAACCTGTGACACTGACAGTCCAACAGCTGTTTGTCCCAGAGTATTCAAAGTGCTGACTGTGAAGTTGTCGATTTTGCTCACTATAGCTATTGAAGACTAGACAAAAGAAATTAAAAAAACATTAATACGCAATGTTCTTACGACCGAGCAGTGCACCGTCACTTTGGTCCCACGACACTGTGAGTCCTACCTAAGAATATCATTTTTCAAAGCAAACTGTTTTCAATAAAGATGCAATAATTGGTCTATGTGCACAGCTAGAAAGTACGAATGACCATCCCTCTAAATAAACCCAAAACACACACTCACTCTGTTTCAGAGAGAGAAAAAAAGTTCTCTGCCGAGGTTGGCATTTAAAAAAAGGCTTTGGCCAATGGGTTGTTCTTGAATATAAAATGATAAAGCATAGAGTATTCTGTATTGAGTCACCCCCTGACTTTCTGCCATGTGTAGTCATCAATCACATACAGATAGTTCTCCTATAACGTGACAGTTGCGTTCTTATGTGAGCTCACGCTGTTGGATAGGCACATGGATGATAGTAAAATGTAGGGTATGCAGGATAGATTGATCTTAGTAGGATAATAGGTCAGCACAACACTGAGGGCTAAAGGGCCTGTACTGTGCTGTACTGTTCTATGTTCTATGTTCGATAGGAAATCACGTTATAGGGAAATTGCTATAGAGAACTGCTAAACTCGTACAGCAGGAAGTTCACTATATACAAACAGTTCAATGCTCTGCAGTAGACCTTGCCCACGTACCCTCAGTTGTTCATCTGTTGGATCTTCAGCTGGTGCTGTTCCATTCGACGTTGTGTTTGGCAGCACGTTGAGTCCACAGACTCGGTTTATTACTGCTGCGATAGACAAGACTTGCTGTGTGTCCAAGGACTGAAGCAGATCAGTGTCAGTAATGAAGCAAACGAGAGAGTTTGGTAGCCTGCAAAAGAACATCAGACACAAAGTATATTAGCAGCTTTCAAAAGAACAATGCTTCCGCTCGATAGATTCATTATGATTTGCTACAACTGGAAACGTTCAGAATGTTGGGAATACTTTCCAGCGGTTTGCCACACATTCTACCCAGAATTACAGAATTTTCTGGCTGAGTTTCTGCTTTCCTGAAAGGTTTTCCTTTTGTTTCAAAGTTAAAATAAAGTCCTCTCATAACAAGATGAGGAGTCTCTTTCTCTCCTGTCCTTTTCAGCTCACAGCTTGTCAGTCATTTGAATACTTTTAACATCAATATTCTCAACAAGGCTCCAGTCTCACATTTTGGAGGGATTCCTTGCTTGCGAACTATGAGCTTTCTTTTCATTTTCAATGGTTCACTGTTGAGGACGTTCCTGGCTCGGCCAGAATTTATTGCCCATCCCACACGGCAGTTACAAGTGAATGACAATTAGGTTGCGAATCATTCTGAGGCCTGACCAGGACTTACCTTCCCAAGAACATTAGATGTTTTTTTCTGACAATTCACAAGGATTTCATGGCCATTGTCAGATTTTAAGTTCTAGATACTTATTGAATTTAATTTCCACTATCTGCCGTGATAGTTTTGAATCCAGCTCATTAAAACGTTACCTGGGTCTCATTCTCCACATTGGTTTCGCATCTAGGGAATATTTACTCAACTTTCCCACCAATATTGGGAAAATAAGAACAATCTAAGATATACCTTGAAACATTGACATTCGGGTTGTTAGCAAGCAGCAACTGGAGGTAGAACTTTGAAACTTCAGTGGATAGTGTCAGATTTTCCAGAAGTGCCAGGTTTTCAGGGTCGACCAAAAATTCTTGAAGCTGCGCAAAGATTGGAAGATATTTGACCGTTAGCCCCAGTGATTCAGTGCTTTTCAACATTTTAAACAATGAAAAGTTCTGGTTTGTGACGCTACAACACAGAATCTCTGTGAATACAACAAATGCCCACAGTGTCATCAGTCCCACATTCCCAATTGAAAAGCCGGCAGGCATCAAAATTCACTTTCGGATGAATCATAAATTGACAATTAATTTCTTACGTGGCATGATTTCCCTACCCATAATCTCAAAAAGGCTGATTGGTTATCCTCAGTATTAAGCTCGGCTTAAATGTGGAATTACATCTGTTGGAAGCAAACTCCTAAATTACTAGTATTTCGGAATGTATAGGTCATGTTAGTGTAACTGGATCTTTGAGAAAAGGCCTGCTTCCCAGAGAACCCAATCAGGCACTATTTCAACCTTAAAAGTAAGAAGGTGAGACATACCTGTGTTTCATTATCAAAGAAAGATTGAAGATCGCTCAGGGAAATTTGATTCATATACAATCCCAGATACTGAGCAAACCAAGCAGTGGAGTTCAGGACTGGATCATTCACATCGTAGCATTTGGGTTTGGGACCTGTTACGTAGAAAAACTCCACATCAACTCCGAGTAAATGGAGAGCTATATTTTTGAAAATATGCTACAAATTCTACACCAGTACGGCGGCCAATAGGGATTATCAGCTTTGTCCCCCAGAATTAATGTAAAGTTGAAAAGAACCTTTCCTCCCTCTTTATTTTAATGACTCTAACTGGGGTATGGGTCCACAGCTGTCTACAGCCTCATACCACTCTGTCGTTTATCATGTATAAACCCAAACAGGGCACATTGGTGGCTATTTTAAGCTGCAGAGGAAACCCTTACCCCTCCTCACAATTCACCACCTCAGGTGTAGGTCTCAGTAAAATTCTCTGGATACTAATAATCTGCATGAACCCTGGCTGAGCTTTCAGTTCCTTTGAATCAGACAAATAACAATATTCTTATTTCAAAGAGATTTAACCAACAGTATGTTTATGTCACCTTGCTGTAGGTAAGCTTTGATGCCATTGTAGATTTCCTTCTGTTTGTTTGAGGTCAAACTCCTGTAACGAGCACTCAGAGTTCGCACACTAAGGGGGAAATGCAAAAACATTTTAAATCTCATCTTCAGATTGAGTTCAATTCGACAAACAGTAATTTTATAACAATGTATTGGAAATGAAGGCATCGTAACTGTGCAACAAAAACACGCAGCAACCTACAATCCTTGTGAATTAACTGTAAGGTAAAGCAAACTTTGTTTAAACCAGCACCTCATGAACAGGCACGCTCGAGAAACCGACAAGAATTAGTAGCCTGAAGTACCAGAAGTTTACTGTATTATCACGATCTCCATGATGTCTGAGTAGTCAGTTGAGGGTGTGAGTGAGAAGGCTGTCTGCCGGTTAGTTTTATTTAAGGCAAAGTTGTATTCCCCTTCCCCATCCCCCATTTCTGAAGAAGGGTCCCGACCCGAAACGTCAGCTTTCCTGCTCCTCTGATGCTGCCTGACCTGCTGTGTTCCTCCAGCTCCACACTGTGTTATCTCAGATTCCAGCATGGCAGTTCTTACTATCTCTTATTATTTAAGTGATTTATTCTGTAAATAAACTATAACAGTTATATGTTTACTCCCTGCATTACATTTCTATTACACCATGTGTGTTTTTACACTATGTGGCCCTCTTGATCAACTGGAATATTCAATCAATTGGCACTCTCCTGGTCCCATAGGTGGTGGTTAATGAAAAGTTTGCTCTATGTTGAATGTCATTCTTTGTACACTCTAATCTATTACATGAAATATAGAGATTAAAGACAGATTTGATGCAAGCCTTTTGAATTTTGTCATGCTGGAATTATGAGTGTTGCTATAACGCAGCTTTAAGCTCAGTAATAAAGTGGTAGTTAACTGTCCAGAAGTCATGTTGTATAATTTAAAGCCTGCTTTTTGAACTGTTACAACTGATGTCTTAGACGCTGGTGCTTAATCTGACAAAATGAAGACAAAAAGATAAAAAAGAATTCTGGTGTGCTCATGTATATGGCTGTGTGTGTGTGTGTGTGTGTGTGTGTGTGTGTGTGTGTGTGTGTGTGAGAGAGAGAGAGAGACACAGAGAGAAAGAGAGAGAGAGATGTGGTGCTGGACAAGGTGCAACAGGGTTTCAGAGAGATTGCTAATCCAACTATCCATCTGAGACATCATGTCATTTTAATTTTCCCCACTGCCCTCACTCCTTACGGTACGTGTCCTACCATAGGGGCCAAATGAGCATCAATGTAAGCTCAAAGACCATGCTTTCTCATCCAACTGTGCACATCACAGTCTTCTGGACTCAACACGGAGTTAAAAAATTTACACCATAGTCTCTGGTCCATTTTTGTTTTGTGGCTTTCTACTGGTTTGGTATTTTCTCACATTCTTTCTACATTAATTTTATTCCGAGCCATACTTCAGTTCCGATGAAGGGGCACACAGCTGAAACTCTGTTTCTCTCTACACATCTGCCCACAACTGCCAGCACTTTATGCTTTCATCTCCTATCCCCTTCCTGTGTTGGTTAGAGATGATGTCCACAATAGCAACAGGAAAAGAGATATTCTTGGTCATGTCATTAATGCCATTTCATCTGGCACAGTCTGGTGACACGATGAGCTCACTAATCCTGCAGAACAATTTACACTGGGCATGATGGGAATCTCTTTCTCTCAGCATATACTCAGAATGGATGTGACTGAACTTACATTTTTCTGTAGGAAAGGCACCCGACTCTCAATGTGTTGTTGGAAAACAAGAGGCGGGTGGTGATAAATGGGAGGTATGGAGATAATCTGACATTAAGCCATGCATTCTTCTCTGTGTCATTAAGTACAGGAAGGCTGTTGATGAACTGAGGCCACAGACCCTCTATGATGGCCACTCGATTCGCAGCTGGCAGATTGTCCTGCAAAAGGGAAAAGGAAATAAAACTGAATGTTGTAAACACACCAGGACACCACATATTTCCTCAACTGCAGTGTGATTCTACCATTAGATCCATTCATGAAGATTACATTTCCTGAAGTGGAAATTAAGATTGAGCATTCCTTACAACCAGAATTACACTTTACAGGAAAGAAAGGTGCTGCATTCTGATTCCAAAATTAAACTGACAGTACGTCTATTCACCACACTCTGTGGTCATGAAATCCATTGAATTATGAACCTTGGACAGAAGTAATTGCTCTTCATTTCGGTTTTCAGATTGCTACTTGTTATCCGAAAACTATGATCTTTCATTTCAGGTTGCTCCCCAAGAGGAAATATCCTCTCTTTTCAATTTCCTTTCGTATCAGATATACCTCAATTAGATCTCCTCTCATCCTTCTAAACTCGAGAGGGTACAGATAGAAATTACTCCCCTTTTCTTCATAAGCCATACCCCATATAACTAGAATCAATCTCCGGAACCTTCTCTGAACTGCCTCCAGTGCAAATACTTCCCTATTCAAATAAGAGAAGGACAATTGCATGCAACACACTCAGTCAGGATCCATTAGTTCCTTCCACAATTGCAGCAACACTTCCCGACTTCCAGACACTATTTCTTACGCTATTCCTTTCACAATGAATACAAACATTCGATTTGCTTTCCTTATCACCTGCTGGAACTGTTTACCAGTTTTCTGCAATTCATGTATGAGGACACCCAGAATCCTCTACAATGAAGCACCTGGAAGTTTCTCTCCATTTAAATGATCAGTTGTGTTTCTGTTCCTTTGACCAAAATGGATAACCTCACACTTTATCCATGTTCAATTCCACCTGCCACCTTTGGCCGATTCACCGAACCTGTCCATATCCACGCGTATATTTCTTATTCCTTTACTGCAACTTACTTGGGTTTGTCGATTAAATTCATCGACGAAGGTAGCCAGGTTCTGAATGGGTTGGATATGGAGTAAGACTGCAGTCAGTATATTGTTGTCATTAATGAAGCCAGGCCTGCTCAGTGCACCAGCCAAATCGCTGGGATCAGTGACATCCAGCACCTGAAAAAAAAATAAAAACAATTCATAGTTTCATTTAGGGAACCAGGAGCAGATTTTACTCAAGGACTGAATGCACAAATCAAATCAAATTAAGCTTGCAAAATGTTATGGAAAACCATGACTTTGGAAACTCATTTCCTAAATGTCCATAGTCTCTCCACCATCTACATGGGACAAGTGAGGATTCTGTTGGAATACTCTTCATTTTCCCACATGGGTGTGATGGGAGTGAAGTTAGAATTTGGGTAACTTGCCTGATGAAGCAAGTTATAAACTCAAGGAGGGGTTCCAGGATTCTATCCAAGGGATGGAGATATAATTCTTACTTAGAATAGCGTGGGACATCAAAGGGAACCTTTGTGTGTTGTACTTCTGTGGAACTGCAGTCCTTGTCCTTTCAGGTGGTACAGCTGGTGGGTTAGAAAGGCCTATGTGAGTTGCTGCAGTGGATATTGGAGACGATATACACTGCTGTCACTCTGCATTGTGGAGGGAGCAACTGTTTAAGGTGGCAGAAGGTCTCAGCCAACTGGGCTGCTTTCAACTCTTTGTGTCGAGCTTCTTGGGGCTCCAAGGCCCTAGAAACAGGGCCCTCCTGTGGACTCTGACAGGTGACACGCAGCTGTCTTCACAATTTTAATGAGATCGGCACATGGTGTGTCAAACCATTCTCAGCTGTCACACCTTATAGAACATTCCAGTCCATTTCACTGATTTACCACATCTAAACTCTTTGCTTTTTCATAAACTTAATATGCTATCTAAAAATTCCCGAGGGATGCTTGACCGCCAAGATGGGTAACTGAGGTCCCGAATACCAAAGTCTTACACCAATTCCTCTCAGGCTTCAAACAAAGCAAAGACCCACACTCTGACTCTCCAAGTAAATGGGATTAGTGTAGATTGTTATATGTTGGTTGGCATAGGCATGGTGGGCCGAAGGGTCTGCTTCTATGCTGTGTCATTCTATGACTCTAAACTTGAGGGTCATTGTAGCCGCTACTGGCATGTCAGGTAAACAACACTGACCAGGAAACACAGAGATCCATCCACACCCCACCTCAGAACAGAAATCATTTTGCTTTTACCTCAGCAACACGATTGGAAGGGAGCAGAGAAAATGCTTCTGACAGAGTCAGTAACTCGCCAAATCTTTGGAAGTTGACATCCACGTACAGAACAAAACTGTTGTTTTCATAACAGCGAAGTGGGAATTCTGGGAGCAAGAAAAAACAGATTTGCAAATGTAAATGTCAACTTCTGATCAATTATAACCATGTCAAACTTGAATTACAAAGCAGGAGAATGCTCCTTGTGTTATTTAGCACCAGACAGCTGGGATCAACACCTCATTTATTGTTCCGTTTGTTCACAACTTGATTTACCTGAAGCGTTGAGGTAACCAAGGATCCAAATTCTCAGCACAGTCTCTCGTGTTCCACGTGGCATATCGCTGAATCCGTTGCTCAGGCCTTTGGTGCTAAATGAATAAACATTTACAATAATTAACAGTGGGACGTTAAATCTATGACCAGCATCAAACCGTCAAGAGAACAATGTTAGGATTCTTCCCCAACAATAGTCAATGCTCTGGTCTACTCTCAGTCAGTCAAAGCTCTTTCCGATGTCTACCTCATTGAAATGAACCTTTTATAATGATGACGACCAAAACAAGTTGATAAATGTCTTGTGTTACTTGGTCACTCTTTCCTCTTTTTCCTCATTAAATGACTGCCTCTTTCTTCAGATGGTCTGACCCCGACGGCAGTACAATTCATCATAGAATCAGAGAAACCCTGCAGCATGGAAGCAGGCCATTTGGCCCACTGAGTGCACACTGATCCTCTGAAGAGCATCCCACCCATACCCACCTGCCTACCCTGTCCCTGTAAACCTGCATTTCCCATGGCCAATCCACCTAACCTGCACATATTTGGACTGCGACATGAGGAGAATGTGGGAACTCCACACAGACAGTTGCCTGAGGGTGGGATCGAACCCAGGTCCATGGTACTGTGAGGCAGCAGTGTTAACCACTGAGCCACCGTGCCTCAATCATCAGCTGTTTTCTCAGACCTCAGGCGACTGACAAAGTCTTTACAGCAGAAGCATTTCAATGGGACGATCTCTAAAGACCTTTTTTATTCACTTGTTGGACATGGGTGCTGCTCGCTAACCTTGAATTGATTGGTTGCGAGTCTATTTCAGAGGATAGTTGAGAGACAGCCTCATTGCTGTCCCTCTGGAGTCACATGTCGGCCAGGCCAGGTGAGGATGGCAGATTTCCTTCCCTCAAGAACATTAACGAGCCACATCTGCTTTTGCAACATTTAACAATGGTTTCATGTTCATCAGCAGATTCTTAATTCCAGATACTGAAGTATCCAAATGTGAGCTACATCTCATGTCAGGCACAAACTCTCATTTGCTGGCCATTTAACATGCAGTATCTTTTCAATTATAAGTATGAAAGGCATGAGTTTCTATCTAGCTACAGTGAAACATTGCCAGGGCTCATCCCTTGGTACAGAATTGACCACGGCACTTGCAATTCCCTGACTCCTTGTTGGGTTCCTTTAAATCCCATGTGCCTGCTTGCTGTTAATAATTGAATAGATTTGCTATGGGTCAATGTTACAATTACATATGAGGTAATAAACTATTGTAAATGGAGAAGGATACACTCACACAGCTTGGTAACCATCACAGGTTATGTTCCTCATCAGAAGGCGGTAGAGAACTGACTGAGAAATGCCAGCAATGAAAGGCCTGAATCTCTCCTGGAACCATTTCCTCAGGAAATCTGGGTCGGTTAAATTTTCATTGGTCTTCACAATTTCCCACAGAGCATTCACGAACGTGATCTTTGTCATCAAAGGAATCGATGATGTGTTCAGGGTCTGAAACAAGCAATGACATCTGTTTGAACTCAGTGAGCAAGAAGATGGCTTCCAACATTGCAGGGACGTTCCAACAGCCTCAAAGCCCAGAAGCTACTTCTTACAGTCAGCAATTCATGGTGTGGGGAAGGTCAATGCCTCGATGATAATTATGGGGCTTGGTAGCTGTTAACAGCTCACAGATGGACCCACACCAATGAACAAGCAAGCACATAGCAACAGATCTACGCCTTCCAGTGGGATAAAATTGGCATCTCCTTGGATTTTTTTTTTTTTCTTTATTCATTCACTGGACAAGGGTGTCACTGGTTAGGCAGCATTTATCGCCTATCCCTAATTGCCCAGAAGGCAGTGAAGAGTCAACCACATTGCTGTGGGTCTGGAGTCACATGGAGGCCAAACCAGGTAAGGATGGCAGTTTCCTTCCCTAAAGGACATCAGTGAACCAGATGGGTTTTTCCTGACAATCAACAATGGACTCAGTTATCATTAGATTATTAATTCCAGATATTTATTGAATTCAAATTCCACCATCTGCCGTGGCAGGATTTGAACCAAGGTCCCCAGAATAACAAGGTCTCTGGATTAACAGTCCAGCGATAATACCACAAAGCCATCGCCTCCTCTCTTTCTTTTCCCAAGACAGAAAATGACGAGCATAAAAATTAAGGGAGGGCCCTCATTGTAGTGATCGTAACAAGGTCAGCCAGCTGCACCTCACTCAATATGTGTTCCCGGATTGGACCAGATTAACTGCCACAATCAGAGAACCCTGGCTGACATAAAAGGATGAATGTCAGGGATATTGGGACTCTAAATGCCTGACTCAGTGAGGGGCAGTGCGATTGTCCAAGGCTATGCATTTGTAAATAAAGGGTGATTGGTGATTGCATGCCAGCCTCTGAAGCGTTATTTCACTTGTGGTGCAGTGATACCATCCCTACCTCTGAGACAGGAGGCCTGGGTTCAAGGCTCACCTACTCCACAGCTAAATCACAACATCTTGGATTAGAAAATACCTAAAATTAACAAATCTACATTAAAGCTGAGAAGGCTCAGAATCCATTGGGGTTCCCATTATACCCTCAGTACATTGGCATTAATGACATGGGTATGAAGTGGGCTGTGGTCCTGCAATTGCAATTTAGGGCTCAAGCAGAAAATTAGCAAGTAGGACCTCTGCGGTTACTCTGGGTGCCGTGTACAAGCAAATACAAAAACAGGAAAATGAGAATGTTCAGCTGGAGAGATGGTGCAGGAGGAAAGGCTTTAGGTTCCTGGGACACTGCGACTATCTCTGGAAGAGATGGCACTGACATTAGCCAGACTTGCGACTGGGTTCCTTGTGGGACAGTTGTTGAAGCTATTGGACGTGTTTTAAACCCAAAAGCAGTATGGGAACCAGTAGAGAATACTATAGGTAATACAAGGATGCATGAAATGCTGAAAGATGCAGATAGAACTAAGATAGAAATGAATAAGTCAAGAGGCAGCATGGTGGCTGCGTGGTTAGCGCTGCTGCTTCACAGTGCCAGGGACCCGGGTTTGATTCCAGCCTTGGATGACTGTGTGGAGTTTGCACATTCTCCCCACGTCTGCGTGGTTTCCTTCCACAGTCCAAAGATGTGCAGGTAAGGTGGATTGGCCATGCTAAATTGCCCACAGTGTTCAGGGATGTGTAGATTAGGTGGGTTATAGAGGGATGGGTCTGGGTGGGATGCTCTGAGGGTTGGTGTGTACTTGTTGGGCCGAAGGGCCTGTTTCCACACTGTTGGGTTCTACGATCTATGACTCGATGAGGTGGAATTGCAGAAAGGGAGCGAATAAGCAAGTCCATAATCAGGTTCACACTGCATGTATGAGGATGGATGGATGGAATATAGTTAACAGAACTGGGGAGCAACGGGCACGGAATACCGCTTGGGAACAGAATGTTGCAGCAATAACACAGTGGCACAAAGAAGGGGAGGTCTGTGTGTTAAATATGTGAAGTACCAACGTGTTCAGGAAAGATTTGAATGGAAAAAGAAATAGGTAGCGGGATGACATTTTTGATTTAGGACAGCATTGCAACAGTGGAGAAAAAGGACATTACAGAAGGTTCAGGGACAGAATGATTTGGCATTTTATGGTCTTTCTCTGTTTTCAGAGTAAAAGCAGACCAGAAACACAGGCCAGCAAGCAAAACCCAAACTCTTAATGAATCCAATGTCAGTGCAGGCTGCATGTCACTCCAATCAGGAAGAATTAAAATTGCAGCTTTCACAGGAGTCAAACAAATAGCAAACACTGTATTGAATAGAGGTGTAATGAGTTATGTACAAACAAAATCTGTAATAAAAAAGGAAAACTCTGCTCTGAAATTCAGCACTCCTAAAGAAGATTCATACTGGACTCAAAACGTTAACTCTGTTTCTCTCTCCACAGATGCTGCCAGACCTGCTGAGCTTTCCCAGCATTTTCTGTTTTTACTGGAACTAGTTATGCTTCTTTGCACTTAAAGTGAGTTAAAAAGTAATTACCTTGTTGTTGAAGATGTCCAGTGCCTCATTCAAAGTGCTTCTGTTAAGTTTCTGAACAAACGTGGTCAGTGCCAGTTCATCTGACCTGTTCAGAGCCTTTGGACCAACAAAACACTGAAATATACTTGTCAAGGCATCACTGCTTAAACCTGAACGCAGGAGATCAGTCTGCAAAGAAATACATTAAAAATATAGTTTGTATTCATTTTATTTATAAAATGACTAATGTATTCCATAACACCAAAATTTATTTTCATATCAAGGCTTCAACAAGAGGAAAAGTTCAAAGCATTTCACAAGAAGCACATTAAAGCATTTTGAACACCAAGCACTTAAGGAGATCGTAGGTCAGATGATCAAGAACTTGATCAAAGAGCTGAGTTTTAACAAGTGCTTTAAATGTTGGAAAGCACACAAGGGAGGTGAATTGATGCAGGGAGTGTATTTCAGTGCTTGGCATGTAGGTAACTTAAAACAGTGGCCATTAATTGTCAACCAGTTAATATCTGGGATGCAAATCGAGCCAGATTAGAGGGGAATAGCTTGCTTGAAGGAGTTTATGCAGACAGGGAGAGGCAAGAGAATAGATGAATTTGAAAACAAGGGTGAGAATTTTGAATTGAGACACTGCTTGAGGGGAAGCCAATATACTTCAGCAAGCAAAACAGTCATTGGCTATGGGGATTGTTGTGAGATAAGGAAAGATTTTTAGATGACAGCAAATTTACCAAGTGTAGAAGGTGGGAGACGAGCCAGGAGTGTATTGGAATAATCATGTCAAGAGATACACATAGCCTCCACAATAACTACACTGATTTATCCAGTCAAACAAGCTGAGGTACGGACAGAAACAGATAACTTTATGCAGGTTCAACTTGTGATGGCAGGACATGAATGAAGTCAGAAGCTCATCTCACTGTTGAATATGACACTGAGGCTGTGAACAGACAGCCTTAATCTCAGATTATTGCAAGGGAGAGGGATGGATTTGATAATTAATGAATAGAGTTTGAAACACAGGCCAAAATCAATGGCTGCTGGCTTTCCAATATTCAAATGGAACATCCATCGGCACTAAATGTTGGATCAACAGCCTGATCATTTAACCAGAGTGGAGGTGTGAAGTGAGGAGGTGCCAATATAGAACTGGGTGCCATCATGGGACATGTGAGCAAACAGTGTGGTGCTTTTAGATGACATCACAAAGGAGCAACCAATGAGGAACCTTCCACTGGCAATCAACTCATTCAATTCAACAAGTGATTAATACAATCACAGGCCCAACAAAACTCAGTCTTTGGTGGGAAAAATTCTACAATTCATTACTGTGTCTGAATGTAAACTACCACAGACATTTCTGGGTGAAATATGAAACATTACTGAGCTTACCCGAGCACATGCGTAGTCTTTAATGTTGAAATTGCACAGTTGGGTCTTGTTAACACTAAGCAGCAAATTATTCAAAGTAGAACTGCAGGGAAACAAAAACACCTCCTCTTAGGGCACCCAATAAATTCAGACACAAAGAACAAAACAACTTTGTTTGCACATTCAGCTATGCCACATTATTTGAAACTTATCAAACTTGTGATTTAACTTTTCACATTGACTCAAAGTCATTCACACACAGTGCACTGGGTTGTTGCCGTGACAACTGCAGGCACCAATCAGCAAGATGAGCAGGTTACTACAACATGGTCTGACTGGAGGAAAGGTATTCTCCGTAACTTCTCACCTGTTCACGGCTCGGCACAGCGTTGTTTCTGTTTGAAAAGTGGAAAAGATATTTTAATATGTAGGACTGATCTCAGCAAGAATTACTGATGAAATCAAACAATGTAGGAGAGGCACTCACCATTAACTGTCGCATTAACAGGCTAAGGGGGACAAAGCACATGTTACTTTTATACTGAGCCAGCTTAAATTTATATTATGAATGTTGCATTCAAACTATGCACATATGTTAAATACCATTTTAGCTGTTAAAAATAATTTAAATCATTAGTCATAATTAATAATACACAAGTTTAAAAGCAACAACTGTACAATTTAAATCACAGCAATTCAGCCAAAATACTGGCTTTACAGACACATGGTCCAGAAACTGGATTGAAGATTGACCCATTTGAAGACAAATTGTTGAGTCTTCCTTACCCTATCAGTCGGTCGGGGTTCTGAAAATAAAACAATATGATTCACGTTAAATACTGCTCCTAATCATGCACCACGATTATTAAACTGACATCATTTTGTTCAATTGTACGACAGATTAAGATGGCCTACAACTGAACGTACAACTCATCTTGGGGAAAATGGAATCTGTGAAATGTCACATTTCCTTTGGTAGGCTTACTTCTTGCCGGAAAACAATGTACTCATAATTTTACATTAGACACGTATCATATTGCAGAATTAATGGGCCTGAGAGTAAATGCTAGCCCCATAAACACATGGATACCTGAAATTACATGAGGCTCCACTTTCCTGCTTTATCCCCAGAACGCCGGATTCCCTTACTCTTTAGAAATATGTCTACTTCAGCCTTGAATGTATTGAACAACCAACTCTAAACAGTACTCTGTGGTAATGAATTCCACAGATCCATTACCCTCTGAAAGAAGAAATTCCTCCGTATCTTTCTGTTACATGGGTGATCCCTTACTGTGAGATTACGCCCTTTGGTCAGAAACTCTCCCACAATGGGAAACAAACTCCTTTATAATATACCTTTTATAAGAGACTCTGACATTTTGAAACGACAGATGTTAAGCTAATTGGACAATAGATCTTTAGAACATAGAACATTACAGCGCAGTACAGGCCCTTCGGCCCTCGATGTTGCGCCGACCTGTGAAAACCAATCTGAAGCCCATCTAACCTAAACTATTCCATTATCATCCATATGTTTATCCAATGACCATTTAAATGCCCTTAAAGTGGGCAAGTCTACTATTTTTGCAGGCAGGGCATTCCACGCCCTTACTACTCTCTGAGTAAAGAACCTACCTCTGACATCTGTCCTATATCTATCACCCCTCAATTTAAAGCTATGTCCCCTCGTGCTAGCCATCACCATCCGAGGAAAAAGGCTCCCACTGTCCACCCTATCTAATCCTCTGATGATCTTGTATGTCTCTATCAAGTCACCTCTTAACCTTCTTCTCTCTAACGAAAACAGCCTCAAAACCCTCAGCCTTTCCTCATAAGACCTTCCCTCCATACCAGGCAACATCCTGGTAAATCTCCTCTGCACCCTTTCCAATGCTTCCACATCCTTCCTATAATGCGGTGACCAGAACTGTACGCAATACTCCAAGTGCGGCCGCACCAGAGTTTTGTACAGCTGCAACATGACCTCATGGCTCCGAAACTCAATCCTTCTAACAATAAAACCTAACATACTGTACGCCTTCTTAACAATGCTATCAACCTGGGTGGCAACTTTCAGTGATCTATGCACATGGACACCGAGATCTTTCTGCTCATCCACACTACCAAGAATCTTACCATTCGCCCAGTACTTTGTCTGCTTCCCTTTTAGAATAAGGATATGAAGCAGCTTGGAAGCTTTCCGATTCCCTGAATCTCTAGATTCTAAAGTTCCTTGTTAAAATAACTACCATTGTATTCACCTCCTTTGTAACTACATCCTTCAAAATGATGGGGTGCAACCTGTCAGGTCAAAGAGAATAATTGGTCTCCACTCCGACTGGCTTCTCAAGTACTTTTGCTCTCGTTATAGTTATTTGGTTTAACTCCTCCCCACCTTTACAAGTCTTCATTATTTAGTCTTTGTGGAATGCTATTAGTATCCTCTACCGTCACGACTTTTGCAAAGTCCTGATTCAGTTGCTCTGCCATTTCCTGGATCCCCATCATATTTTTTGAGATTGGCTTATTTTCACTGTGGCCACTCACTTCCTTTTTATTTACTTAAAGAAGCTCTTACCGGCTGATTGCATATTCCTTGCGAGTGCCCTCAGTTTACTTTATTCTCATTTTCTTCATTTTTGTCTTTGAAAACTTTTCACTCACCTTTGCCATATTGCATCTATTTTTTGCGCAATTTGATTCTATCCTTAACTTTCTTGGCTAACCATAGTTGGCTTATCCCCTTCCAAGAATCCTCCTTCCTTACTGAGATATGTCTCCATTGAATCATCTTCTATTTTCTGAAATGTTTGCCATTGTCCCTCAATTATCTTTGCTTCTTAAACTTCTTTCTCAGCCGCTCCTCTGCCCTTAATTCTCTGTAATTACCCTTATTTAATTTAGTACACATGTCTGACCCAAGCTTCTCCCACTCATACTAAATGTGAAATTCTACCGTGTTATGGTGTCTGTTCCCTCCGAGATCATTTATCGAACCTGCCTCATTACACATCACCATCCCCAACAAAGCCTGATCCCTCATTTGATCCACAATATATTGAGTCAGGAAACTATCCTGAATCTACCTTCTGAACTCTTCTTCATGGCAACCTTTCTCAATATTATTTTCACAATCTACATGGAGATTAAGGTCATACATTGTTAATGTGCTGCCTTTTCAATGGCCTCATTATCTCATGACTTATTCCTGGCCTACAGAATGGACACTGTTACAGAATCTATAGATGACTCTCGGCAGTACCTTCTTCTCTTGTCATTTCTTACCTCCAGACGGGTTCTACATCTTCTGATCCAAGATCATTTCTTGCTGTCGTACTGATTTTGTCTTGTGTTAACAAAGCTACCCTTACCTGTCCTTTCGAAATGTCATATAGACCTGAATATTCAATTCCCAGTTGACGACTTCCTTTAATGATGTCTCTGTAATGGCTGTGAGATCATACTCCTTAACCTCCATTTATAACATTAATTCATTTATTTTGTTGCTGTTTTTGACCTTTTGTCCCTCCTTTGACCCTATTCGTTATGCTTTTCTTATGCTTGGATATCCTGCCCCTCTGTCACTCAGTACAATTATGTGATAATTAATGTGTTCATTTATACATAATAGTGATAAATCATAAGAGCTAATGCTTAGCTAACAACTTTGTGAAAGTATTGCAGAGGCTGTCATGTGCACAGCAAAACGCTCCTGATATTTGTGCAAGGTCCTGACTTGATTGTCAAGTGGATCAAGGGGAAAACGCGGGAGAATAGGGTTGAGAAACTTATCAGCCATGATTGAATGGGGGAGTAGACTCGATGGGCTGAATGGCCGAATTTCTGCTCCTACGTCTTATGGTCTTATCGTCTTATGGGCTTCAGTGAAGCCGTTACCTGATGAATTATCGGGAATTCCTCCAGTCAATCCCAGTCTCCTCACTTCAGACTCGGTGTGTGAGGCCACCCAGACGACCACTACAGTTTCATTCACTCCACGCTGAAGATCCCGAAGGTAAATTCCAAGCAGGTTCATCAAATCCTGGGAAGTCAGTTTCTGAGATAGAAATAACATATTTTGTTTAAACACTTCTCAGATTTCACATTTCAACAGCATCTTGCCCTTGACAAACCTGGGAATGTGAAACTGAGACAGAGCGTGGTACTGGGTTTGACCAAGGATATCGTGGCATTCATTTAGACCCCTTAATGATGATAATTCACAGAAACTATAAATGTTATGTACATCTATCTGAGCGATATTCTATTTCACAGTTAATAATACATAGCTGTTTTTCCTCTTCAGTGTGCCTGGTGGAGCAGAATAAAACTGGAGATAATCTTTACATGCTTCTTTATCAGCAGATGTCCACAGAGAATCACATAACAAATACCTGCTAAACTCCCACCCTACTTCCAGTCTGTTCCTATTCCAAAAAAGAAACTCTTGTTAATGCCTCCCACCTTCACCAAATAAACACAAACTCACGATCAACTTCCAATTCCCACAACATATGATTGGGATGTGAACCCAATATATTCTGAGACATATACATTTGGCCATGTCACCAAGCTGGTTCAATTTAATATTTGTTGCGACTAGAGGAGGATGGAAGTAGGAAACAGAATTGCGTGTACCTACAACATCTGTTGTCACATGTACTTAGGAGCTTACATCCAAAATGTAACCGCGGACAAAGTATTTCAATAATTTTAACTAAAGAAATCACAGTAAACAGATCAGGGCATTCAATCTGTATTGACTTCAGAGCAGAAGAATCAAGTAAAATCAGGGAAACATGTGTGGAGATTGCATGTTGTCCCTGTGTCTGCGTGGATTTCTGCTGGATGTTTCAGTTTGATCGCACAATCCACAGCTGTGCAGCTTAAGTGAATTGGCCATGCTAAATTACCCCATAGTGTCCAGGGATGTACAGGTGAGGTGGGTTGACCATAGTAAATGCCAGTTTATGGGGATACTGTGGGGGCTGCGTCTGGGTGGGATGCTCTTTGGAAGGTTGGCACAGACGCGATGGGCCGGATGGCCTCATTCCACATCGTACGGATTCGATGATTCTCTGATTCTAACCAGTCAACTCAGCAGAAGCGTGTGGAGCTTCCACGCCAGGAGGGCTTGAACATCAGTTCTAAAGTTGTTCCAAATGAGAAGTCGGACACCATCAGAAGTGTAAATGATTTAGCTGTAGACGGTGGTTTGTGTTAAGATCTTTCAAAATGTCTTCTACAGACATTACTTTGTTTTAAGGCATTTGAAAAAGGGTCGCTTGAAAGGCTGATCCAGAAGATGAGATCCCAGGAGGTTAAGGGTAGAGTATTGGCTTAGACAGAGAATTGGCTGGGTGACAGAAAGCAGAGGATCAGGACAAATGGGGCCTTCTGAGGAAGGGTCACCAGACCTGAAATATTAAGTCTGTTTCTCTCTGCAACTGCTGCCAGACCTGCTGAGCTTTTCCAGCAATTTTTGGTTTTGTTTCAGGATAAATGGCTCCTTCCCTGGATGGCGAACTATAACTAGTGGGGCTCAATTCTCGGATCTCAACTATTTACAATCTATATCAATGATCTGTAAGCGGGTACAGAGTGTCACATAGCAAAGTTCGCAGATGATACTAAAATAAGTGGGAAAACAGGTAGTGAAGAGGAGATAAATGCTTTACAGATGGATATTGATACGTAAGGGGAATGAACCAGAAAAAATAAAAGGGCAAGTCATTATTTCAATGGGAAACAGAGTCAAAGTGCATCAGTGCAGGGGGAGCTGGGCGTCGTTGTGTATCAAACGCAGAAAGTGGGTATGCAGGTGCAATATTTAATGAGAAAGGCAAATGGAATCCTGGCATTTATTGCTAAAGGACTGGATTATAAAAGTAAACAACTGTTGTTACTTTTATGTAAGGCATTGGTGAGACCATACCGAGAGTATTGGGTCCGGTTTTGGTCTCCTTACTTGAGGAAGGATGTGGTGAAACTGGAATCTGTTCAGAGGAGATTCACAGGATTGATTCCAGGGATGAAAGGGCTGTTGTATGAGGAGCAGTTAAATAGCTTGGGCTTGTACTCACTCGGGTTCAGAAGAATAAGGGGGTATCTGAATGAGGTGTATAAAATGCTAAAAGGGGATTGATAAGGGGGACGTTGAACAGATGTTCCCCATTGTGGGGCCGTCTCGAACAAGAAGTCATAGATACAGAGTGAGAGGAGGTAGGTTCAAAACTGAGATGAAGAGAAACTACTTCCCTCAGAGGCTTGTGAATCTGTGGAACTCACTGCCCCAGGGTGCACTGGAGGCAGAATCAATCAACAGATTCAAGAAGGGAAGAGATACATTTTCCATTTTTACTTGCTTGTTAGGATTTAATTACAATGTAGGGGCGGCACGGTGGCTCAGTGGTTAGCACTGCAGCCTCACAGCGCCAGGGACCTGGGTTCGATTCCAGCCTTACGCGACTGTCAGTGTGGAGTTTGCACATTCTCCTTGTATCTATGTGGGTTTCCTCCGGTTGCTCCGGTTTCCCCCCCACAGTCCAAAGATGTGCACGTTCAGTGGACTGGCTATGCTAAATTACCCTATCGTGTCCAGCGATGCACGGTTAGGTGTGTTAGCCATGGGAAGTGCAGAGCTACAGGAATAGGGGAGGAGGTGGGCTTGTGTGGGATGCTCCTCATAGACTCGGTTTGGACTCGTGGGGTTGAAGGGGTTTCTGTTCTATAACTATATTTGAAAACTGTCACTGCTGATGCTCATGGTCCTGGGTGTCAGCAAGCACAGCCAAAATTAATTACGTCCCAAGCCTACAGCAACAGAACCAATCAGCTGCATCATTTCTGGGTCAAAGCGCAGGAATGAAAACGAGATGTGATGAGACATAAAAATGAAAATGGAATCACTGCCATACTAATACATCATCGGAACATTATCATCATACCCTGACTTCTTCGGGATTCAACCCTCTGAAGGTATCAAAGTCCATGTTGATGCTGTTGTTAGCGAGGAACTTCAGATCATCAGCTGCAGCACCACCTGAAGACAGAGGGACATTTCTTAGTTGCACGGTCTCCAATGGCATATTACAGCATTGGGAGCAAATTTCCATGGACGGCCAATTGAGAAACGGGGAGAAAATCTAAAAAATATAGGAGCAGGACTTTTACACAATTGCTTGGGATAAGGCCCCAAAGGACAACTTGGATGTATTTCCAATGGGAACATATCTGATGCCCCTCTCCATGTTCATGTAGAAGTGTGGGACAGTTCATGGGATCCTTGATGATATCTCTGTTCATTTTATTCCAAGTATGTGCATTGTAATCGCAACTGATTCAAGATGTGGTCAACCCATCAAAGACATGTGAAATGAACTAGGTTAACGCATCTCAGAAGGTTAAACTACAGCCATATTTCAGCATAAACTTGGTTCCTTAAGTTCTGCCGATTTGAGCTCCTGAATTTCACTGTGTTTCTGTGCTGCCAACAGGAAGCGAAAGTGAACTCCAGATCAGACTGACAGAAAATCCACTCGTCAAACATCAGTGTTGATGAGATCCCCGTGAATCCTTTTACTCACCAATATAGGCCTTTATCAGCTGGAAATAGGGGATCGGGTCACTTTGCTGAGACCTCAATGCTGAGAACGCTAGTTGATAAAGCAAGTCTTTCTTTGACTGCGTGCACGTAGAAAGATCCAGTGATCCTGCATCCCTGTGGGAGAAAGGTTATAATGTCAGTTTTCTTTAGTGCCTCTGTATCTCCCACAGATAAGGAACTTGCAGTGCAATCCCAGCCCAAAGACTTACCCAATCATTTATCAGAATGTGGCACAGTGCCAGGTGTGCCAATTTGGAAATCACATCTTCTGACATTACTCAAGTGGCCTTGTGACACTGTGGAAGTGTCCTTACCTCTGAGCTAGTAGGCAGGGTTCAAATCCCATCTACATTGGAGTTGTGCAATAACACCTCAGAAATGGTTGATGAGAAAATATCTCCCACATAATTCACACTTGTACTGCAATATTAATTCAGCTACTCATGTTAGAAAGGACCTATGTATTAACCTAGTGAACAGTTGCTGTTGTAAGACAGAACCATGCCAATGTATGCCAGAAAGGGCGAATGACTTCACAAGGATAAGACAGTAAAGGTCAAATGGAGGACTACATCCACAAGAGGCCTTCTACTTCACCTTGGAAAAAGATTATAATTCGATGTAAAACACAACAAAAACAAATGCTTGAAGATTGGATAGTGAATATCGTCCATTCTGGTCAGTGACCTCCAAAGATTGTTGCCTTTCAGAATCAGTGGGACATACGATGAATAACTGCACTGCTCCAGAATCTTCTTGTAATTAAGTTGCCCGCGGTGGGAGAACAATACCGGATGGCAGTATTAAAGGGACATTACGCTGAGAGACCGCTGGATAACACAATAGATCTTCAGTCAATAATAGTCAGACACTATAATCTAACTTTCTATAATACACAGATTGAAATTGCAGATTAACAACTGCATGACTACAGCCACAACTTTATGTGGACTTCTTAGCATTTACATTTAATTAAATTCAAAAATTTTCCGTCAAATTGCTTCAAGCAATGACAATTAGCAACAGCAACGATTGGAAGCAGACATTTCATGATGGCAAGTCCCAAATACTCAGTTTTCATCTGAACTAACCTACTTGGAAGGAAGTATACAGCCATAAAACTAACGGAATATATCAATGTAAGTCCATCCAGGGCAATCATTGAGCTTGTGACAGAAGAAAATAGCAACCCCAGAGGATATATCCACAGATTTCTGAAGTTAGCAGCGTATCAAGTTGAGCTGGCCAAACAATGTCTCTGCATCAGCATCATAACAGCGAGCTGCTTATGCTCAATGTGTTCATATACAAGTTCGAGGTGACATCTAGAGTATGGTGAATAGTTCTTATCATTTCAGAAACAGAAACAAAGTAACTCCACTTGAGAAAAATTTACCTGGACAGGAGGAGTTTAACCAGGAGAACAACTTTAATAATCTTTGCTTGTACTGTTGCCTGCTTAGTTTGGAAAAGAGAATGCTGCGGGGTAATTTCATCGAGTTTGATACAATCATGAATTGCTGAGAGAGGACAAGCCTGTGTCTTTGAACACTGAAGTCAATAATTGGTAGATCTGAATTTAACATAATTGGTAGCAATATTATGGGAGACCTAACGACAAATGTTTTCATCCATGGGCAAGAACTCTAACAACCCACTGTTTGAAAGAGGCGTCACAATCAAAACACTCACTGCTTTCAGCAAATATCGGGATATGGTCTTCAAATGCATTGAACCCCAACACAGTCGATTAAGGGCAGGAAAAAGGGGTGAGGCTCAATAGGTCCATTTCAGCCAGCTTAGACATAATGAGCAAAATCACCTCCTGTGGAATATCAATTCCACTCTTCGCTTCACAGTTGCATTGCACCGAGTTCGATGATTAAACAATTTGCACACTCTCCAAACTGTTCACATTGCACTCATTAGGAAACGAGCAGAGAAAAGATCCAACACTCACGTCAAGTTTGAAATTGTCAACAGCTGCTGTTCATCCAAAGTGCATAAGCTGGCTCCCCCAATAGATTTCAAAGAAACTGCATTCAGGTCACCACCTAACTGGAGATATCTCCTCACAATGGATTTGATCTATTGAACGAGAAGTGAAGTTCAGAATACACAGTTATAACAGAGAACCCATAAATTTAAGATGTTGCCTTTCATTGTTCATTTATTCAAATTTAGAACAACCCTATATTCAAATAAAATTCCTGCAATTTTGTTCTGTTTAGATAACATTCCCATCGATAAATTTTGGTTTATACCACGAATCATCTTTCTCAAATCTCAGTTACTATATTTCACGATTCCCACAATTAAAGACTGCAATCAATTTGCAGCTATTGCAGAATCTTTTGTGCACATAAAAAACGACCTTGCTTCAAGAAAGACATTTGTCTTAAACACCGGTGAGAGTACATTCCGGTTATTTTTCATGAGCTCGTTATACTTTCTCTGCAGATAACAATAACTTAACAGGAATATTCTCCTGGTTTCAGTACCATTGTGTTGTCCAGCTGTTGCTTCATTAATGCAGAAAGTGTCTCAATTCGAGTGATATTCCAGCTGCTGACTTCTGTCACATTGAACACTGTTGATACGTTGCCCAAAAGTTGAATCTGGTTTTCAGGTAGTCCACTGGGATAAATCTGTTTCAAGAAATCAAAAAATAATCAAACGCTGTCAGAGTCTGAGAAGTTATTTCTAAATTCAAATCAGGATTCAGATTGCATTTCAGGTGAGAAATCTTCAGCAATGGATTGATTTCTACTTAATCTCCCAAAAACCTTGACCATGATGTTGCTGAAAGGCAGTGCAGTGCTGAAGGGCTGACTGGTCTAGTTCATTCCTATTTTCCAGACAATCTTCAGTGTTTCCACTGTTCAGGTTGAAAACAGTCGAGACTTCATAATGTCTCATTATTCCCTTTCCCTGTTCAAGCCTCACTATGGAGACAAGGTGGATGGAAACGTTCCTACAATACTATTTGAAGAACCGTACACAATCCTCATGGAGCCCAGGCCAACACACGTTTCTCTATTCATGACACAAAATAAAGTATGTGGCCTCTTATCTCTTTCCTATACATGATACTCAAGTGTGTGCAAACTAGTTGTTATGTTCCCTAACATTATCCCATCACAAGAGTTCAAAATGTTTGCACTTGCTTTGAAGCACTATGGAAATCTCTGAGGTGTGAACAGTACGGTACACATTAAGCCAAAAGGTTCCTTTGCCACAGTTTACATCACGGTCACATACCTTCAATAGTCTCTTTTTCAGAACTTCCAGCTGAGTAGGATTAAAGGCAAGAGCTCCCAGTTGGAGCACATTGTCTTTCAGCACACGGTCACCCAAACAGAGGTCTAACTGGGACGGGCCATAGATTGCAGGGGTCAGGTCATTAATGTCTTCTGCTGCGATTAAGCCCTCGGTGCAGTCTGGAAATACAAACCTCTATTAGATAGAACTTTGCAGTTTGTTGGTAATTTTGATCTCACAATATAACACAGAAATTAGCAGTCTCCTTTTCTCGAGAAATGCTGTTAGGAAGACATAACAACCATTACTGATCTGCAGTTGACAAAGACCAGTTGAGTATCTCTTGCTGGTGCATACAGTGGATGTAACTACTTTGCCGCTAGGAAAGAGATCAGTCAACAGACAGTTACATGGATGTACCCTCTAAAAATGCTGCATGAACCCATCTGTAGGCTAGTGTCAGCAACACACAAATTGCTGCTCCACCTTAATAAGTTCTTCACGACGGGTTTGGCTGGGTGTAAACTCCAAAGTGTAAAATGTCAATGATATTATATCCCACTGACTACCGCACAGTGAACAATCAGATGGATTGAAAAGTCTTTTGAAACTTCCTTTGCTATTTCATGCTCATGAACCAAAGCTGCGTCACCCTTTTAAAGACCAGACCTGCCCTCTTTTTGTTGATTTACAGATACATTTTATTTAATATTTATTTCAACGACATACTTGCTGTATTGTTTGATCTTCGCAGATTGAGCTGATTTATAAAGACCAGGATGTCATAAGGAGGTCTCGAACGTTTCGCTTTCTTTATAAATCTTGGAAGAGCTTCAAGAAGGACAACCTGCATTGGACAAATGGCAACACTGTAGAATTTCTTCAATAATTTCTTATTTGACACTTCCTGATTTGCCAACATGAGCCTTTTCAAGAAAACATTCTTCAATGATGAAGACACTTGCCTGAACACATCAGTGTTTTAATGAGTGAATGATAGCTGCAGGATAAGGGGAAGGTTCTAACATGATGCACGAACCGCACTCTCTAAAATCCCAAATTAAATTGAATTTTCCATTGCTAAGCGCTTTAGCAAAAGAAATCTCCAGGGGGACAAGCAGCTCCACTCAGAGGCGAAAATGAGCTTCTCCAAATTTCACAGATTCAACGATAACAAAACCAGGTGAATGACAGGTGTTTTATCCTCGCGGGTGGGATTTCAAGACTAGGGGCATATTGATAAGGTGAAAGGAGAAAGATTTAAAAAAGACATGAGGGGCAATTATTTTACACAGAGTGGTTGATGTGTGAAAAGAACTACCAGAGAAAGTGGTGGATGCAGGTACAGTCACAACGTTTAAAAGACATCTGGATCAGTGCATCAATAAGCAATGGTTGTTAGAATATGGGCCAAGTGCAGACAGGTGGGAATAGTTTAGTTTGGGATTGTGGTCAGCATGGACTGGTTGGACTGAAGGATCTGTTTCTGTGCTGTAGGGCTCTATGACTGTATAACCACATGATAATTCAGTGACAAACCATCCCGGGTCTTCAGGCACATTAATAAAGGCAGCACAGACATTATAGTGGATTCAAACAGTTCTCATAGATCTACAGGGCCAACGTTTTGAGTCGATAAAGAGTGATTATATGTGTAATTAACCTGGGGTTTGATCACTTTGTGCTTCACAAGAAAATGCTTTAAATGTAGAGTCTTTTATGTTGCAACTAAACAATTCTGCTTGGCTATTGTCTCACAAACTTAAGTATCTGAATCAACCTTCAACCAAATCAACCATACCCTGTTAACTAGAGTCCATGTGTCAGTCAATGTCAAAGGAAGATTTCCGAGATCTTGGATTGTCGATGATGACCATGATGAAGGAACACTGCAGATAAAAAGGAACTGAGTTTAAGAATAAGGTGCAGAGCTGGATGAACACAGCAGGCCAAGCAGCATTAGAGGAGCAGGAAGGCTGACGTTTCGGGCCTAGACCCTTCTTCTACTATCTCTGAGTTTAAGAACACATTACTGACAGTGCGGGGAAAAAAGACGCACTTGAACAAAAGAAGAGCAAGGATTATCTTGCTCGCCTTCTGTCGTCCTCACAGTCTCTAGACAAATCCATAATGAAACTGTTGGCTAAATATATTATTGAAACAGACCCAGATTAGAGTTCATTCAAGTTCCATTCTACAAATCACTTGGAACCACAGTAACAGTCACCTGATCTTCCAAAGTGTGCCTGTATGTCTAATGTTAGAAGGTAACAGGTTTCATCCCAGGTCTGTTACGAATGCAATTCACCTGCTTTCACTTGTGTGTACGTGGGGTTTCTTCCAAAGACAGTATGTACATTCCTCTTGGAAATTCACAGCATTACATGTAGCATGAAATTGAGGAACTCGGGTGTAATGTGTATGGAATTATGTGAACATTTCACACGCACCCATATCTGCTGGCTCCATTCTTAAGGCGACTTTCAATGGCTCTCTTCTGATCCTCTCTGTATGACCGACATGTTTTCAATGCGTCCAAGATGGAAAAATCAGATTCAGCGATGATGGATCCCTCGAGGTCACACACCAATTTACCCAGGATTGTCACACTCTCCTTCGTCAGATTCCTGCCAGAAATTCTCTGCACATTTGGGAACAACAGCAATTTCAGTTTTGCCACAACATCACCAACAAGTAACATTCAGTTCATCTTGAAGACCACAAAAGCTGATGAAAAGAGCACAATCATAATTTTTGTAACATTACCAGGGATTGATTTTCCTTTGAATATGGGGTTCTCTATTTGCAGACATTGTAACTGCACCAGAATGAACACACACTATACTGACAGTGATGAACAGTGAAGTATTCATACTATCCATAACTGAGACTGAACAACTCAGATATAAAACTCAGTGAGCTGTTGCAGAATTATGAGAAAGTCGCCTATATTGACTGGAGATCATGTGTTATTTTACTCCAAAAATTTCTTAGATACTGTCGCTGATGTGGTCTCATCATTGGTCTTTAGCAGATAAATGACTGTAATTCTCATAGAGTAGCACCAAGTGTCAGCATGGATTATGTGCCCATTCCCTGAAGACTAAATCTCTCAGCTTTCCAGAACGTGGGCTAAGGCTCACAAGTTACTAGTAGTTCATTGTTAAATTGATATGTGTTTTCTATCATGATGGTGTTGTTCACTTCCACATCCAGCATACTGTTTCTACAGCTGCTCAAGTGAGTCTCATTGTTAGTAGGAACTGCAGATGCTGGAGAATCCGAGACAACAAGGTGCAGGGCTGGATGAACACAGCAGGCCAAGCAGCATCATAGGAGCAGAGAGGCTGACGTTTCGGGCCTAGACCCTTCATCAGAAAAGGGTTTTTTTTTTTTTTGTTGTTGAGTGTGAGGACGAGTTCGGCTAAGCGGATGAGGGTGTCAGTGGAGGGGGACTGGTCGGGCCTGCGGGACAGGAAGAAGCGGAGGGCCTTAAGGCCATCTGCATGGGGAATGCAGGTGTAGAGGGACTGGACGTCCATGGTAAAGATGAGGTGTTGGGGACCGGGGAATTGGAAGTTCTGGAGGAGGTGGAGGGCGTGGGTGGTGTCACGGACATAGGTAGGGAGTTCCTGGACCAAGGGGGAGAAAATGGAGTCGAGATAGTTGGAGATCAGTTCGGTGGGGCAGGAGCAGGCGGAGACAATGGGTCGACCAGGGCATTCAGGTTTGTGGATTTTGGGAAGGAGATAGAAGCGGGCAGTGCGAGGTTGGGGAACGATGAGGTTGGAGGCCGTGGGTGGGAGGTCACCTGAGGTGATGAGGTTGTGGATGGTTTGCGAGATGATGGTTTGGTGCTCAGGGGTGGGGTCTTGATCAAGGGGGCGGTAGGAGGAGGTGTCGGAGAGTTGGCGTCCGGCCTCGGCGATGTAGAGGTCAGTGCACCATACTACAACTGCACCTCCCTTGTCCGCGGGTTTTATGGTGAGGTTGGGATTGGAGCGGAGGGAGCGGAGGGCTGCACGTTCTGCGGGGGAGAGGTTGGAGTGGGTGAGAGGGGTGGAGAGGTTGAGGCGATTGATGTCTCGACGGCAGTTGGAGATGAAGAGGTCGAGGGAGGGTAGGAGGCCTTGGGGTGGTGTCCAGGAGGAGGGGGTGTGTTGGAAGCGGGAGAAGGGGTCAGTAGAGGGAGGGTTAGGTTCACGGTCAGAGAAGCAAGCGTGGAGGCGGAGGCGGCGGAAAAACTGCTCTATGTCCAAGCGTGAGCGATATTCGTTGATCTGTGGGTGAAGGGGGACAAAGGTGAGCCCTTTACTGAGGACTGACCATTCGTCCTCAGTAAGGGGGAGGTCTGGGGGGATGGTGAAGACTCGGCAGGGCTGGGTGCTGCTGTC